AACAGAATAGAAATGTCAAGTTCACGTCAGTTGATGTAGTAAGTTATTTAACATTTCCTAGAAGAAAAAATCGAATAGCATTAGATTGAAAGAATGAAGTGTCCATAAAATTGATCCTCCATATGCTATCCATTCATCGGAATAAATTTCCTCCTACGTTCATCAAGCGTTAACCAACGCAAGTTACATGTTGACTCTGTTAATTGAATCCGTTGTGGGACAAGTGTCTTAATTAATGTTAGCTTAGAAAAATTGAATTTCTCAGAAAGTAAAATTAATTTTAATATTCTTTTATATCTCGAGAATATTTTATTATTACAACAGGTATTTGTTTTGAAACCCATTTACTCTAACATTTTTTTTCTCTTCAGAATTTGCCGCTAAAAAATTATCATAAAAAATTCCCATCGCATCCAAAGACAAAAATAAAACTGACGCTCTAGCTTCAATTGTTCGAAAGAGTAGAGATGTCTCGGGTGAAAAATTAGTGAATCATTCTATATATTTTGAAAACCGTGAAATGTAGTACACATTCTTTCAGATGGAATAAACCGTTAGCGTTTATTAACACTATTATAATCGTTCTATGATCAAATATACTGATTACATTGAGAACTAATTCCACATTAATTTTGGAATGTATAGCACAATCAAAGGTATTGCGATTTAATGTGATAGTTCAATGTTGGTTATAATATTTAGGTCTTAAGAATCATTAAAAATCTCACACACACACATTCTTGAATTCACATAACATTCTTGTAATATTTTTCACAAAATTACCTTTAGAATCTGCTGATAAAATATTTATATTTTACTTCCGAATTATTCTGTATATACTTAAAAAATGAGTATCTTATAAATTTATAAATTTTGTAAGATTATAAATTTTGTTATAAAATTATAAATGTTAAAAAACTAATATTAAACACTGCACATGTCACCTTTTTTTCTTTTATATAATGTTACTTTTATAAATTTCATAAGAAATAATTTTTAGCTGTCTAATTTAATAAAATAAAATATATATATATGAAATAAACAGAACGTGTCATGACGTTTTTCGTTTCCTCTTTTGTAATAATTTGCCAGTTTTTTCGTCTGATTTAATGCGAAACTGTAGTTTTAGTAAGAACCTGTTTAACCTAAATACGTGCTTTTGTTAAATATTCTTACTCATCCTTTGCACTAAATTTTCATAATTTTTAAATGGAACCGCATTTTTCCCAAGATCTTCAAGACAAACTAATATTTATGGATTCTTTTAATTAAATTAAAAATAATTAAAAGATTGATCTATGTTTGGAATTTTAAAATAATACAAAAATCCGCAACTTTTCTTAATCTTCCCAAAAATTATTTGTTACTTAAGAATGTGCAAAATATTAATGACATAAAACAACAATATACATGATTTATTGTGCGATTTATTCACACAAATCATATCTGGATTTCCTAGAGCGACGACATATTTATGTACAAAATGTTGTCTTTTTTTAAAAATATGTCGTCTCTCTCTTAAAATATAATTATTTAATTGAAAATTTTATCGACGACATTATTAAATAATTATGAGTAAAATCAAAAGTTTAGCACCAGAGAAGTCGAATAAATTTACGATACATGATTTAATTATCATACATTTTCATACATTATTTTTGTATCTTAAAATCTCTCCTCTTATTGAAATATCTAATAATAATAATAATAATAATAATAATAATAATAATAATAATAATAATAATAATAAGTTAAATTACAAGAACGGTATTTTCTTCGGTAATTAATAATTATGTTATCATTCGCAAAAGTCATAGTAGAGCGCGTCATGTTTTATTCTATCAACTATGTTATGCCTTTTTACTCCTAACATTAACGTTCCTTATTTTAATACCGATAGCTATAACTTGCTCAAAACTCGCATTCGTTTCGATTTATAATAAACGTTTTTTTTTTCGTTTCCTAAATCGCTGGCAATTTATTGCAACTGTCTCGTTTGATGAAGAAAAAGGCGTTGGATATCGAATCTGTGAAAATTTTTCAGTCTCGATGATACAAGAGTTAAACTGATAAAATATATTTTTTAATTTTAATATATTTCTTTAATTTTAATATATTTTAATTTTAATATATTTTTTAAATTTATATTTAAAATCTATTTTTTAACATAAAATAAATTGTTTAATCGATTCCACATTCTGTGTAGAGAGAATAATCGATACTTCCTGGTCGTACAATGCTATGCGCCGCTCCTTTACACAAAGTGCGGTCGTAACGATCTTATTAAGTTCAACGATCGCATCTTGCTTACTATCCTAAATTCCTGTTTCACGAATGCCATGCGAAATAACACTCAATTTAAAAATCAATACAGTTTATTCTCATGCCCTGCTGTCTAAAAACTTTCACCTTATTTCATTTCTCTCGACAGATGTAGAAAATTACTAACCGGCAATAAATTGTAAAACTGATGCCATTTATAATAAATAAATAGTGCCCTTCTTTTTTATATATGAATTATATTCGATAAATAAGAAACAAATACATATGGGTGCTCGCAATTTTCGGCAACAATTAAATATAAATGTCGTCTTTCGAGGAGACAAAAATAGTCGAATAATCTGTATCTCGTTTTCCGAATATTTTATACGAAGGTTCCCACGTGATACGTTTTACTTTCATTTTATCGCTTTGTAGCCAGTATACTCGTATGTCGAACATTGTGACAACTTAGTAGAAAAAATTGCTTATTTATTACAGACGCTATTAAATTTGGAATCATTAGGAAGTGAAATTCTCAAGTCCGAATCTCAAACCGGTTATACTGCTAACGAATACAAAAATTTGTCTGGTATACGAGCGGTCCTTATGATCCACCTCACGAACCAACGATCGAGTCCGTAAATAGAAAACGAGCTTTTACATCGTATTCATGACGGCGAAGGTAAAGAATGATTCTCATAGAAAGAAACAGCGACATCGACAAAAAAAAATTTAACAATAATTTCGAATAATATACGAAAAATGAAAACAGCAGGCTAGAAGGGATTTAACACAATTGTATTAATCGATAAATCGATCATTGCAGTAAATATTGTACACGAAAAAAATTTTTCGTTAAATTTTAACGCAAATTTTATTATAAATTTTCGTGTTTTATAGAAATCTTAGAACAATTTGACATCTATGTAAATTTTTAAATAGCTTTAGACAATAAAATTTCCACGTAATTTTTATAAATAAAGATTGTATTCTTTTTTATTAATATTAATATTATTATATTATTGTATTATTTTTAGTATTATATTATTATATTATTTTTAATATTATTATATTTTTATTAATATATTTTTATTATATTTATTAATTAATTTATTATATTTATATTATTATATTTTTATTAATATATTTTATATTGTACTTTTATTAATATTTTATATATTATCAATGAGCAGCATGAGTGTTAAAAGTATTTATAAAATTAATACAGTATCTTACATTTCTATTATTATTTTATATTTTTTTTATTTGAAAAAGTAAAATATCACAAACTCTTTAACATCTTTTTAAATTATTAAAATTTTATAAGGTACACTTTAATAAAATTTAACCGAATTTGTGCATTTAATATTTTATTATATTAATAAAAATTTTTTAAATATATAAAATACTTTAAAAAATATATGAAATACTTTAAAATTTAGATTGTTTTCTAAAATAAATCTTAAGAGAGAATTCTCTCCGCATAAAGCATCGAGGGAAAAAATTTCTAGGAAAAAAACTGGACTGAATCATTGATCTGATTGATTTGTAACTTGAAATACGAATCAGTTTTTGCGACCATAGTACATTGAATGTACGACACATTCTAAATAAAGTCAGTAATTGAGTCAGTTGAATTTACAAAAGGCGATTCAAAAACACACTTTGTGAATTAATCGCGAGTTAAGTGGGCAGAAGAAAAAGTGTATTTTCGCGTTTTATCATTCACAAGCAACGCGTGACATGAAGATATCGATCACGTAAATAAAAAAGAAGAATTCTTCGCGATTTTCCCATGCTCGACTCCCATGCTAGCCATTCGGATCTCGTTGGACATTACTGGAATTTCAATCGATAGAACGGTGATAGAGATCGTGATCGACATGTCGTTATCATTTCGATCACTTGCAGAAGGTCGCACGTGATTGCACTAAATCCCGTATTGCTGGATAAAAATAATCGCAACGCACGGGTGGTACCATCGATAAGAGATTTTTTGATAATATAACACAGATTTTTTTATTCATATATATAATCAAAATTTTGTACATGGCAATTTATATGTTTAAACTAATTTATTGTTGGATTATTTCCTTTTTTTTATAAGAATCATTTAAACATTTTGAATATAAAGATAATATTTTAATAAATAATATCGCCGAAATCTTGAATTATACTAGAAATTAAATAATGATTTAAAAAAGTACAGAAAAAGAGATGTGGCCCATCAAAAATTGAATAATAATCTTATGATAATATCAGATTTTAATTAATAAATTGTAAAATTGACAAATTGTAAGCGTGGAAAAATAATTGAAATAGTAAAGAATTATCCAAAAAAATAGTCCAGAATTTTTTAAGCACACAAGTCTTCTTTAAATTTAAATTTTCTTGTATTTTAGTAATTTTATTAATTATTTGATAATTTTTCATATAACATTTTTTTTTATTTTTATTGATTATTTAATAATTAATTATTTAATTATTTTTCATATATAATTTTTTTTTATTTTTATTGATTTATTTTTGTATTATATTTTTTTACTTTTATATTTTTATATCATACACACTTTTCCATGCCATGTACCTATCCACGTTGCGTTTCTCGATCGAGATTTATGGAATCATAATTTCGTAGAATTTCTGCGCAATTATTCACAATTATATAATTGCGCGTTTCAGAGCAATTGTTCAATTCGCGCGCAAAAACTTGTGAAAGAAACGGGCAATTTACTCACCGAGTTATCCTAATCTCGCAAGTAGAAATACTGGGTGGGAGGATCAAGCCTCGAACGTCTCTTCTCTTCTCCTCGAATGAATATGTATGTTTTCTCCAAATGCATCCGAGCATCCGGTCCTCCGGGAGGAACTTCCGTTTCTTTCCTCCTACACTTCTCCGTCCGCGAACAGCTGAGCGCGTGGAAGCCGTCGATCGCGCAAATTCACCGGTTCTTTGGATTTGCGATCTGCTATCAGAATGAAAGCTTTTCTTAAGGCCGTGTTGTACTTATGTGGCTACCCCCACTTGCGTGGCGAACGAACACTTTGGACTCTTCGTGGCGTTTAAAGAAGTCTATGCTCCCCTCTAGAACAAGTTGATACGAAACGGCACACTTTCGTCCGTTTACTCCTCTTCCCGACATTTCACTCTTGCTGATGCATCTTCACTCTTCATGACACTTTTGCTTTTGATACGGACAGTCCTTTAGATCCGTACGAGTTCGGTTATCATGAGTCTGAGTCATTTTAATGACAAATCGATCGTTCCATCGAGTCTTCTTCTGTCATTTTCTGACAGCTCGCTCTTTCTTCAATTTTCCGATAGCAATCAAATTTATTTTTATTAATTTATAATTTATTTTATAAATTATTGTTTTCAATTTTTTAATCATTAATTGTTTATTTTAAACGCTATTAATATACAGGGTGTTTCAAAAGTCCCGGACCGGTCGAATATTTATAAACTATGCACTTTAGAAAGAAATGTTTCAGACAAAAGTTGTATGGCTTGAAAAGGGCCAGAAAACACATGGTGTAAAGAAAACACATAGTTGTTTAAAAAAAAAATATGTAATTGTTAATTGCAAATTATATATTTTTTTTAAAACAACTATGTGTTTTCTTTACCAATTGATTCCTCTCATTATTTTGTACATGAAATTATTAAGATAAGATAATCGAAAAATGAATATTTTACTCGATATTTTATGATTTTTGCAAAATTAAAAAATGATTTCAAGCCTCATAACTCGAAAAGTACTTAATGAAGAAATATTTAATTATAGTGTTTTGGAAAGCTCTCGAGATAAGCTACACGAATATGTAATAAAAAGTAGGGAGTTCCATTTAAGAAATTGACGGTGATCTTCACGTGACTTTCAAATGACTCTCTCATGTCAAATCATTGCCATTATCTGATGGGCCCCTTCAAGCCATACAACTTTTGTTTGAAACATTTCTTTCTAAAGTGCATAGTTTATGAAATATTCGACCGGTCCGGGATTTTTGGGACACTCTGTATATTCTCGAAAGAAAATGACTCGAACTAAAGCTTCTCTAACACTTTCAGAATGATAAAAAAACAATCTCTTCCAGAATGATAAAAAAACAATCTCTTGTGACATAATAATTAAAATTTTATTTTTGCAAAATTTTTTCCGTTTGTTCGATACACTTTATGTTCGATTATATGCCATATTTATTTATTTAATTGTTACATTTGATCACTTGCTCTGTCACGGATAATCAATACCGTATCCTTGCGCTTTTGTCAGCTTCTTAGCTTCATCGAGTTAATTTTTTGTCGTGATCGATTATTTATCTTCCAGTATTAGTGCCTTTACTAACTCATTGAGCCCAGAATATCGACTTTCTCTACACTCTCACTATATCAATGAATGCCACAGTTGCCATATATATGCACTTAACAAGTATAATGGCAGGAAAAGCTAACTATTTTATCGTAAATACATTAAGTAATTTGACAAGCTGTACATATAATAAAGTTGGTCAATTTATACAATAAATAAGTAAATTACAATAAAAAAAATAAATATATAATAAATAAATAGATAAATAGATAAATACATAAATAGATAAGTGAACAAAATAAATAAATATATAAATAGATAAATGAATAAATAAATAAATAAATAAGTAGATAAAAATAAGTATAAATAATAAATAAATAAATTACATTATAAAATATCTCTAGCATTTACATCTTCTAGATGCGTAAACAATTGATCGGTGGAAAATAAAAAAATTTCATAAATTCCGCAGAAACCGTCATTTTCGCGCGACGTCAAGTTTGAAATAATAGTACGTAAGAAGATGCATAAGCCATTACATAAGTCTCCACAGAGCGACTACCGCAATATAAACGAATATATTCGCACGAGAGTTTCGAGGACACGAGACTCGTATCAAGACGCTTCGTTAAACTTTCATAAAGACGACGCGAGACAGGAAGAGACAGGAGGCATAAATTCGCGCGAACCATTCGAGAGAAAGATGATGATGAACGGTGATTGGTAACAAATCGTTTCCGACTGACCGAAATTATATTCCGAGATTTATGCCCGCAATCTAATTTTCCAAGGTGATAAATAGATATTTCTAGTCAGATATTATCGCGCTCTCGATTATACACCGCGACTCCTTGGCACATTATTGTTTGCATTCTCGGTTACGCGGTAAATTTCTAATTTTCTCGCGAGAACGGACACGGAGCGGAGTTGCAGCCGAGACAGAATAATTTCCTTCCAGGAATATTTAAACAATGTGTAACCTCGTTTCCTCGTCTTTCAATCTTCTTTATTGTAATTCATTTCGAGGAGCGATGCCACCGTGCTGGTGAAAAAATTGATGATTTAAAACATATTAACGTGACTTATAAGACATACATATACAGGGTGGCTGATAACTTTTTGCAATCGCGAAGTGTGAAGGTAGATTGGCTCAAATTAAGAAGAAAAGTTGGCTGATCTTCTTTAACCCTTTGAGGGGCGGTGTATCATATATGATTCACCTATTTATCTTTAGTATTTTCCTCATTATGGATGTATTACGACAGTTATATGCATGCAATCAAGTTCCTTAGACTTCTGATTACCTACATATTGTAATCTTCCATCACTTTTCACTGGGGGGTTGACAATAATTAATTAATAAATAATCAATATGAAAAAAGCATTATTTTTTCGGAAAAAAATCAATTTTGAATACAGGTCTTGTTGAATCAACCCCAAATTGCACATATATAGATTTTCGGAGTCTTTGATCACAATGCCGGCCTCAGATTTTGGAAATCCAAGATGGCGGATCCAATATGGCGGATGACATATGTAAAATCTGATAATTTTCAATTTTAAAAAATCTTATCATATTTTGCATATAATTTGAAGAAGAAAGTATTCTTGATGTTTTTTCGATTAGATGTGTAGTTTTTGAGAAAAAAATTTATGAATTATAGAATTTCTTCTGGCTTTATTATCCGCCATCTTGAATTTCAAAAATCCAAAGCCGGATTCGTGATCAGCGACCCTGAAAACCCCTATATATGTGATTTCATCTGAAAATATCAAGTTTGTCAATATTTCTAATTGTAAGATATAATCCGCCATCTTGAATTTTGAAATTATGGTGCCAGATTCGTAATCAGTGATCCCAAAAACCTATAAAACTATCATGATCTTTGTTGTTGATCTCACACAAAAAATGTGCCCCTAAAAGGGTTAATTAATTTTTCGTTAATTATTGCGAATATCGCAAAACAGTAAAGGACCTTCCTTTTTAATTTAAGCCGATCTACCTTCCCACTTCGGGATTGCAAAAAGTTATCAGACACCCTGTATATTTGTAATCACTCGCTATTTATCATTTTTAGAGATGAAAAATATGTAAAATAATATCATTTATTCAGATTACACGCAATGGTAGCTTTCGACGATGCAATCTCCGGTAAAAATCGATAAAATACTTATATCCTTGATCTGAAAAAAATCTAGTCCGCTGCGTTTACGGGAAAAGCTAGCGACTCGGTTTCTCGCGTGAAACTGACGGCATGACATTACTTATTATTTTGTTCGACGTGTTACCGTTGTGTTGAACCGCATAATTTAACGGCAAACATGAGAGACGACGAGACATGAAATGACGATGTTCCGTCAAGAAAAGAAACGATCGAAGCGTCGTTTCCCGAATACCGAGTAATCAATTGATTCAAACATTGAGACGCGGAGATAGTTAGATATCGCTTTCTGTGTCTAAAATATGTTCCTTTAATAACGATTTCCGCTCTTCTCATTTCGCCGAATGCAAAAAAAGATTCAGCATGGTGAGAAAATTGAATATGATGTGTCTTCAATAAAATAAAACGTATTTTCTCGGGCAATTAAAAATTTTAATTACTCTGCGAGAGAACTGTATTTTAAAAATGTATACTTTTTAATTAAAAATCATTAATTTTGCTGCAAAATAATAAAACTTGATCAATTTCATTTTGCGCTTGTTAATTTGTAAAAACGTAACTCGAAGCAAGATTTATCAAACAGACATTAAGTGTACAACCCTGGTGAAAATCTCATAATTTCTTAAAAAATTTTTTGTAATTTAAATTTATGAAGAATTCTCGTAATTTAAATTTATTAATATATTTAATTATCATTATTTATTTATTTTTATTATTTATTTAATTATTAATTATTATATTAATATTGTTATATTAATATTAATTTAATTATATTAATATTAGAAATGTTAAATATTCTGAGATATTTATTCTAAAATTTTTCGTAACTTAAATTTATGAAAAAAAAAATATAACAAATTTATTCAGATTTTCTGATATTATTTTAAAAAATTAAAGAATGAATATCTCAAAATATTTAACATTTATAATATTAACATAATTAATACAATATTAATATAATTCTAACAAAATTTACATGCATCTACGGTAAAGATATGAAACATCTTCATTTCTTTTCTAAAGATTTTTGTAAAGTGTGCCAATTCATACAGAAAATATTAATATAATTTTTATAAAAAATCTGCAAATTATGAGAAATTCTGTAAATAATTTTCATCAGGGAAATGATACACAAAAATCTGTTATAAATTCGTATGATGCCATCATTCGTACGATTGTTCCGGTAGTTATTGGTAAAGGAGAAAGCGCGTAAGAGAAAACATAATTCATCTCTAAAAAAGAGATTATTTTTGTCGGACTTTATTCCATTTCGAATGAATTACTACTCCGAATTAAGATCCGTATCCATTTTCAAGCGAAAATAAGATACAGGATTTGGATACAATTAATTTTAACACAAAAGTCTCGATGTACAAATCGCATGCTATTTTTGTAATATTTGTATGATTTAAAAATCTTATAAAAATATTTTAATAAATATTATATAAATATTATATAATAAAATACTATATAAAATATTATGTAACTCTAAAATAATAATAAAAATAATTTATCTATATATAATCTATATATATTTATCTATATAAATTTATCTATAACTTATTTATAATAATTATTTATAATAATTATCGATATTATCTATTATCTATAATGATCACTGATAAAATTGGTTAAATACCATTAATAAGATCAATAACAATGATCGGTGAAAGGCAACAGTAGCAGACAACGCGCTTCCTGGGGGAAAATAGTTGTGTTTATTATAATAAAAACATATGCGCACACAATAACACATGTTTTCTCTGACTTATTATCACTGCGTGATGCCTGTAATTACATGATCTAAGAATTACGAGGGCATGTAATTATTATTTGCAGACGGTAACATGCGTATCAATCTACAGTAGATGTGCACGCACCTTACGTACGTATAATGCGTGGATATTTCCCTTAAAAACGCGTTCATTCAGACAATATTGTAATCCGCATCACGATTATACCATTCATATTTTTTAATAATAATTAGATTCTTTCGCAATTGTAGAAATAATAAATTATTGAAGCATTAGTTTTAAATTAATCTCAAAATTAAATTGAGAATTAAAAGTTAAAAGATTGAAATTAAAAATTAAAATTTAAAAAAATTTTAAATTAATCTTAAAAAATACAAATCAACACTTTTCCCTTTTTCTGGATGTTCCGAGGTTCCGCGTTACGGAAACGCAGTCCGGCGTTACGAGATATTTCAAATTCGACGAGGTGTGCGCGCATCTTTTTCTTCTCTTTGCACGCACGCACGTGAGTGCGTTGTAGATTCCACACGATGAAAAAGCGGGAGCAAATCGCCGTTATAAATATTGATCGCGCTCAAATATCATGGGAATTAATTATACGTTTCATTCCGCTGAGAAACAAAAGTAGCGAGAGCCCGCGACCCTCGATACGTCCGTTTCTTAGTTTCGGCTGTATTTCGACCGTGAAACGGGCCAAGGCCTCGTAATCGGAAAAAAAACGCTGCTATAACAGCGTGCTTATAAGATTTTGTACAGATCTCTCTAATTAGGACGATGAAAAAATTAGGCCAATTGTAAAGCCACCAAAAAATAGCAAAAATGCATCGAATTTTGCTAATAAAAATAATGATAAATTGAAGTTATTATTATAAAATATATAAATCATTATTAAATATATTATTTTTTTTTAACAAATAATTATATCACACAGAAAATAGTAAAAAGCATCCAATTTATTAATAATAAAAATAACGATACATTGAAGCCATTATTTAAAAATTATATAAATTATCATTAAATATTATTTTTAACAAATAATTATAAATAATTATAAATAATTATAAATCCCAAGAAATAGTAAAAAACATCGAATTTTGCTAATAATAAAAATAATGATAAATTATTGAAGTAATTATTGAAGTAATTATTGAAATATAAATCATTATTAAATATTATTTTTAACATATAATTAATAAAAAAAAATCACAAAAAAATGATAAAGATTATTAAATTTTGTTAATAATAAAAATAATATTTCCTTATTTAAATATATATATTATTTTTAATTATTTCTTCTCGTGACGAATGAATAGAGATCTCGCTCTATTCCGTTCTTTTTTAACGATTTTCGTATTAAAACGACAGAAACAAATGGCACACAATCTCGACACGATCGAAAAATGACACGGCCTTCGCGAGAATCGAAAAAACGTCAAAGCAATTAATTCCACTCTCTTATATTTACTGGTTAATACAACTCGTACATCCGATTTAACGGGAACGTAACATCGCCGGCAAAGGAATCTCACGATAATTCACAAGAAAGAGCGAGTTACTTTTGTCCGCATGTCCGGAACCTCTCATCTCGTCAAGTCAAAAAGTGGAGTAGAGACGCTTCACAATCGGAGAGATCTCGTTAACGCGCCTCTCAAAGCGATTTTTAAGAGCGTGTGTTTCGGTTTCGCTGGAAAAATTCGAAAGTCACGATTTTTGCTCGATCGCTATCAAGATCCCAAGTGATGTGTCCCTCTTTGCTCTTCTATCAGCCCTACTTTTGTTAGTAATAACTTAACGAGAGACTATATATATAAAAGCGAAAGCAAAACTCGAAGATAGATGTTCTTTTTTTTTCATTTTTACAAAAGTATATTTTAATTGTATATTTTATCTCTTATAAATAATATATTATTATATCAAATGTATTTATGATGGAAAGAAAGAGCGAAGAGGGAGGGAAAAGAGAGAGAGAGAGATCTCCTAAAATTCCATGCTATCGACTGAAACTAAAAATAAACACATTAGAAATTGCAATTATATAAAAAATTAAATAAAAAATAAAAAATTATATAAATTATATAAAAATTAATAATTTATCTAATACTTACGTTTCCCTTTTAATCTCTCCTCTCGCCTCTCGGCTTCCAAATGTCGCAAGAATTCTTGAAAAACGTGCAGTGATTTATTTAAACTTGTCTTCTTGTAATCTTTTATTCGTTTTTTATTTAACTCGTACGTTTCTTCCTCAGCTTTATCCCGTACGTCGTATGCGTTGATCTCCTCTATTAACGTCATTATTGTAGGAACCTTGTCAGGATCAAATTTGTCCACCACGTTCGCATTGAACGGTATGCAGATTTTGCCAGTTTTCGGATGGACGCAGAAAGGAGACTTTAACAGGTGATTTAAGCCTTTGCTCACATTTATGTCCAATCTTGGATATGAGTACTGCAATTTTACTTCCTCTATTAAGTGACGATACAAGTACCACTTTCGGTCTCCCTGAAAATGCACAAATAATTTCAATATTTCGATTTGAAATGTGATAAACAATTGTAAAGAGTTGTAAAGGATATCGTACCTCTGTTCGTTTAGACTCGATATATTGTACGAATGCGTGCCATCTTGCTTCACTGGTACTTTCTTTGTTGAACAAGGCTTTCATTTCTTGTTTGTCTTCCTCGTTAGGCAATATTGGGAGAAACTTCTCGATTCCTTCCTCCGTACCCAACATGTTCTGCTCTTTAACGCACATTTCGACAAAGATGGGATCAATTATATCAAGAGCACGTCTGCAATATGTATGTAATGTCAATTTTATTTTTGATTTATACAGGGTGTCTCATTTTAAAAGTTCCACCCTCATAACTTTTTTAATTTTGATTGTAGAAAAAAATGTTTCAGACAAAAGATATATGGCTCAAAGGGGGACATAAGATGGTGTCATTAGTTTGACATTGAAGAGTCACCTGAAGATTACATGAAGGTCACATCCAACTTTTTAATAGGGACACACTATATGCTTTTGCATGTTCTTATAGTTCATCTCGAGAGCTTTCCAAAACACTATAATAAATTATTTTTCCATGAAGTACTTTTCGAGTTATGAGGCTTAAAATCATTCCTTAATTTTACATAAATCGTAATATATCTAGTAAAATATTTATTTTTCAATTATCTTGCCTTAATACTTTTATGTACACAATAAAACACATAGTTGTTTAAAAAAAAAATATGTAATTGTTAATTGCAAATTACATATTTTTTTTTTTTTTAAACAACTATGTTTTTTCTTTACACCAATTGATTCCTCTCATTATTTTGTACACAAAAGTATTAAGGCAAGAGAATCGAAAAATGAATATTTTACTAGATATATTACGATTTATATAAAATTAGGGAATGATTTCAAACCTCATAACTCGGCAAATACTTAATAAAAACTAACTTAATTATAGTATTTTGGAAAGCTCTCGAGATGAACTATAAGAACATGCAAAAGCATATAGTGTCCCATTTAAAAAGTTGGATGTGACCTTCAGGTGACTCTTCAATGTCAAACTAATGATACCATCTTATGTCTCCCTTCAAGCCATATAACTTTCGTCTGAAACATTTTTTTCTACAATCAAAATTAAAAAAGTTATGAGGGTGGAACTTTTAAAATGAAACACCCTGTATATAGGATATTATTATAAGCGTTCTCATAAAGACCTACTTAATAGAATGGTGAATTTTATCGCCTGTAAGATGTACTTTCTTTTTCATAAATTCTCCTCCGCCTATAACTTGCAAATATTCGGCAACTGCTGCTCGTACTTGTCCTGACAAAGTGCGAGCTGCGGAGTCACATACCCAACAATGAATGCCTCTTCTGCCAGAGAAGACCCACAAAATATGTTTATATCCAAAGTCCACTGTAAAAATCAAGCATTGAATCACTTAGGAATTGTTTTTAATGCTAAAGATATAATGATATTATGGATATCTTACACCTCAATGCGCTATCCAATATCTTGCAAGCAAGTGACATGAATTTCCAACATTTGTTACAAATATCAGCTCCTTTACAGCATGTTCTTACTTCGTCATAATCAGTCATATCTATGTCGAATACTAATTCTCTCTCTACTGGCTGAAAATTGGGACCTCTCCTCTGATCTTTTGGTCTAAAAATTAGATACAAAATGTTTTTAAAAAATTAGATATAAAATGTTATTTGCTTTTACACTTTTTTATTGTGTTTATGATATGTAAAAATTAATGATTCGTTTAAATATTTTTAATGAAATATAAATAAGTCTATCAATTATCGTACTTTCTTTTTTTAATTAATATTATTAATTAATATTAATTAATATTTTATTATTATTCTTTTTCTGATTCGCACTTTCTTTCTTATTATCTTTATTTTTAACTATTATTAATATATTAGAATTAATATAATGAGATGATTAAATACATTGTTTTAAAAGAATTTATTTAATGGCTTTAAATAGTAAAATTTTTAATAGCAAAATTTAAAAATTATAATAAATAGCAATTAATTATGCATTAACTGTTTTGAGCTGTAAATAAATTCTGTTAAAGAATGTGTTACTGAAAAATGTGGCGAATCTAAAATACATCTTGTATACAATGATACTTTACTGGGCATTATAAACTGCTCCAATATCAATTTTATGTGGCAGTAATCTCTTAATTTCATCCGACAGTCCCTTTTGATCGTGGAAAGACTGGTAACGTATATAAATATCATCGGAAAGTGTGAAGGAGAATTCTCTCTTGCTAAATGTTGCCGCTAAAAAAAGAAATTAAAAACATGAAACACTATCATATGTTATTATAAGTAGAAAAATATTATTTTTACAAAAATATTATTTTTATTAGTACAAATATATTCTATTAAAAATATATTATTATAAAAATATTATATATTATTATAAATACAAAAATTAATCTTTTAATCCCTTACCATTCCCATAACTTAGCCATCTGTGATAATCAGCAAATGGGAATAATCTTGAATAATAAACTGGCAGCAAATCCAATAAATCTGACACATCACCCATTGTAATGTTAATATAAATCTGTTTATATATAAGGTTATCACGTACAACTTAAGATATATTTTCAATTATTATTACAAGTGTCTTATTTATTTAAAGATATTGAAAATGATATAATGTAAATGTGTGAAAAAAAATAAACTGCATATCATCAAATTACAAAATTCAACACAGATCAAGATTAAACAAGACCGATGGAAAACTGGCGCGAAATTTATATGACTCGAGTCAGATAAGGTCAGGTTGGGTCAGGTTAAATTAGGTTGCATTCTTGCTATTTTAATTTTATATTTCAATTCTATAATTAACTTGGATAATAATTCAACGTTTTTTAATTTCTGCCAGTTTTTTGATTTTTTTTTATAATTGAATTATCATTTATTTATTTATCATTGAATCATAAATATAAGTCAAACTTAAAAATATTTTATAATTTATACTATTTGAGAAAAATATATATTATTAAAATATAAAATAAAATGTTTGTATTTTAATATTATATATATTATTTTTTAATACTAAATTAACTTCTAAATGGAACGAATTTCAAGCACATTTAATTTTTTCATAAATGTGGGTAGTATTAAGTTTAATTACTAATTACATTGGAATATATATATGCAAAATAAATTTTTGTTTAATTAATTTAAATCTTGTATATATTACATCTCCATGATTTTCTTGTCTCAATACCTTAATAACATCTTTGTATCATAATATATAAATAATAATAAAAACTAATCTAAAAACTTGTATTTTAACAACATATTTTATTTACAATTTCGTGCACGTAGCATATATATCTATATAATTAAGTGTATTACATATTTTATATTAATATAAGTGAAAAGTAATTCAAGATTTATCCTAACTTAATCTAATATAAAAAAAATACTTTTATATTATGAAAGTAATATTTCCAGATAAAATCAAAATATATATTTTCTTTATAATACAGTCTTTAAACGTAACAAAAACCATGCCGTGTTTCTATTTGTCTTAATTATCTGTTAATTATCATGCAAAATTATAGAGTCAACTCGTTTCTCATTATATTGTGTAACTTTTATTTTGCATGGATAATTTACACACACAAATGATTTACATCGTCAGATTTGTATGACGATTATATACGACTCCTATGTGCCCATCATATTTATTCTAAATATTATCTTTTGATAAAATAAATATCACATAGAAGTGTAATTAAAGGGAGGAGGGGGGAGAGAGAGGGAGAGAGAGAGAAATTACTACGTATATATATTTAAAAACAATTTGATGTCCAACAAATTATGATTTAATTGTACAAGTTATAATTTTCTTCACTTTTATATTACCTCTATTCTTATATAAAAAAAAGATTTGTATAGAAAAAGATTTGTATTGGATATCAAAATGTTTTAGACAATATTAAAATTATACCTCAATTATAAAGATATTAAATGAAACTAACACAAGAGAGAGAGAGAGAGAGAGAGAGAGAGAGTGCAAAAATTCAGTGAAATAAAAAAAAATCAAAACTATTGGCTAACAAAACATATTAGCACATACATACACCATACTATTTGTTACATGTTTATGCCTTCTTTTTTTTTCAAGATAAGTGTCATTCGCATATATATGTGTAAATATATTTACATATATATCTAATCATACATGTGTGTGATTCATTAATTGTGAAGCTATATTGCATTTATCATTAATATTAAAGCTATAATAATATATAATAAATTTTATGACAACATTATAACTATTTACAAATATTCTTTCATATAATTTCAAAATAATGCTTAATATAATAATCATAAAATTCTCTTAATAAGTAATCATATCATTTTTATAAATAAATATTTAATATTGTCTAATCCTTAAAAATTTGTGAACAAATTTCTACACAATTCCCACACTATATATGTGTATATAGATTATACTTAAAGAAAATATTCTTTAAAAATATATGGCTATGTCCGCCAGCGGTTTAATATTTAATAAATCATCATATCATAAATAATAGAGTAAATAGAAGATATATTTAAAAGATATATTTATTAGCTGCATTTAGAAAATATATAAATTGAGAAAAAAATAAAAAAATTATTCTCTCAAAAAATTATTCTGATAGCTAGATGCATATATAATATTGTTATTCAATGGTTACATTAACCATTGTATTTTCTGAATGCAGCTATTGCTTCGGATATAAAAGATTTGCTTTAACATTAGACTAATTAGTTATTAATAATATCTTAAAACAGGGGAAGTAAATTTATCCCACTTGTCGTTGTCGTTCTGTTAGCTAACATATGATTATTTTTTCATGGATTATCAAGCTAACAGGTTGCACCATTGCAACCAGAAATATGTTTTATTTATCATGAGGCATCTGGACGAGAACTGTTCTAGTCCCTTCAGAGATATTAATTTTGAGCTCGTTAGTAAGCGTTTCAATCTTGTTTATTACCTTGGCCGTGTTTTGCCCGCCAGGATTTGGCGGTGGCCATATATCGTCCAATGGTGGCTCGATATACTGTTTATTCGTTTTTGAAATGGCAAGATATGGATTTAAACCAAGCGTTCCTCCCACGTGGTTCATAGAAGAGATGTACTTGGGGCTACTTGCGGCTTCATTATCAATGCGGGCACGTTTGTAAAGAGGCATCTGCATTACTGGACTGTAATCATGGTCCAGAAGACCTTCAACTTCCTGCAACAGCTCTTCGCCATATTGCTGTAGTTCTTCATCCATTAGTTGCTTCGTATACAATAGAGTCCTTGAGCGACCTAAAATTAAAACATATTAATAAAAACACCATAATAAAATAATATAAAAAGTGTTTATTATATCATGAATAGAATACTCGAGTATCTCTTTTAATAAAGGATTGTAAAAATAAATGAAAATTTAAATTATACTTTGGAAAGCAAATTTTCGAATATTTTATTCATAATTTTATGCAGAATTTTAATTTAATGACTTCGTTAAAAAAACAAAGCAATTGTACTTTTCCAGTACATTGTACTTTTGTATTGTATTTTCATTGCACTTAAGAAAAAATAAGATAGAAAAATAATCATTGTTACAGGTATTGTATTCAGGTTTTCTTTTTGGCATTATTTTAATGTCAATAATATTTTCATACAATAAAAAAAATTAGAAAAATTAAAAATAAAAATAAAAATTTTTTTTAATTGGGAAACCCACGATTTTATAAAAGAACTTGTGTGAGCTAAGCACTTAAAGTAAATCTATTTTGATTAAAACTTAATTATAAATAAATTAAATAAGATAATTATAAGTAGATTTTTAGAAAAGAAAGCGGAAAAAGGAAAAAAGAACAGAAATGACTGGAATGGAAATAAAAAACGAGGCAATTAAAAATATTTAAACTACACTTTACAAAAAAATAATAAAATGGAATGATATATAAAGAAATATGGGGAACAAAAACATATACAAAGAAAGTTTGGGAATTTCAGAAGAAGAATATGAATATTTGATTATTTAGGCAAAAGCATCCTAATGTATAAAGCCGAATAGATACGAAGATGGAAAGAACATAGTTATAGACAGATAAATAGATCAAGATAAGTATATAGAGTCCCAAAAGTCCCGGACCGGTTGAATATTTCATAAACTATGCACTTTAGAAAAAAATGTTTCAGACAAAAATTGTATGGCTTGAAGAGGGCCATCAGATAGTGACAATGATTTGACATGGGAGAGTCATTTGAAAGTCACGTGAAGATCACCGTCAATTTCTTAAATGGAACTCCCTATTTTTTATTACATATTCGTGTAGCTTATTTCGAGAGCTTTCCAAAACACCATAATAAAGTATTTCTTCATTGATTACTTTTCGAGTTATGAGGCTTGAAATCATTTCTTAATTTTACATAAACCGTAAAATATCTTGTAAAATATTCATTTTTTGATTATCTTACCTTAATAATTTTATGTACAAAATAATGAGAAGAATCAATTGGTGTAAAGGAAAAACATAGTTGTTTTTAAGAAAAAAATATGTAATTTGCAATTAACAATTACATATTTTTTTTTTTAAACAACTATGTGTTTTCTTTACACCAATTGATTCCTCTCATTATTTTGTACATAAAAGTATTAAGGTAAGATAATCGAAAAATGAATATTTCACAAGATATTTTATGGTTTATGCAAGATAATCGAAAAATGAATATTTCACAAGATATTTTATGGTGATCTTCACGTGACTTTCAAATGACTCTCCCATGTCAAATCATTGCCACTATCTGATGGCCCTCTTCAAGCCATACAACTTTTGTCTGAAACATTTCTATCTAAAGTGCATAGTTTATGAAATATTCGACCGGTCCGGGACTTTTGGGACACCCTGTATAAGTATATAATAGACACTAGGCTTAGATTGTGTTTTTATCATGTATCTCTGGATACATGATAAAAAAAATAGAAAGGCTGGTATCGGAAATAGAGACAGATAAAAGAGTAGTAAAATTTGAAGCAAAGATACTAACTTAGAAAAGATACTGCTATCTACTATTTAGTTTAGGATAATTTTTTAAGGAAATACTTAAAAATATAGAAAAATATAGAAAAAAGTCCTACATAAGATCGAAAAAGAAAAATATTTTCGGAGAAACAGAATCAACAGTTTGGACATTGAAAGACAAAGAGAAAGAAGTAGTATCACTAAAAGATATAGATTAAATGATTTTAAATATGAACAAATTAGATAATCACAAAACGAACAATGACAGCACAATAAAACGCAGGAGGCTGTAATGAAAGATATAAAGAATGAATATATGTAGATATCTAAAAAGATAAACAAAATAACTCGGTCACTGAATTATCATCACATCGTGCACCAATTTTTTCGCTGATGACATCGTGCACCAATTTTTTCGCTGATGACCCAAAGAATGGGTCGAAACGTACGTCATTATAAGATTATATTTCGACATTTGTATAATAAAAATTTTTTGTATACCAAGAACAACTCATATTAGGCTGTCAATTTAATTTAATTTAATTTAATTTTTTATATTTGATATTATATTGATTTTATATTATAATTTCTCGAGTCTGTCATCTTTATTGTTTTATAATAACAGAAGAATCACTAGAAAAAGATTAGCGAGATTTAGGTGCGTGGGTGTGAAGAACTTAAAAATAGATTCTGGCAAAAACAGAGAGACAATCTGCGCAGATTGTGTTTGAGAGAAATGGAATCGATTGAACATATGGCAAAGAATTGCATCAGAAAACTAAGAAGTAACAATTCGACGACCTCTTCGCTCAACATGAGAAATAAAATTGGTCGGACAAAAAATATTTTCAGAAAAAAAAAAGAAAAAAGAAAATTTATTTTATTATTTTTAAATTGAATTATACTTGACGGACTGAATTTTTTAGAATAATAATTATTAATTATTGTGACAATAATTATTAATAATTATTAATTAAATTAATAATTATTAATAAGTATTATTAATTATTAATAATTATTAATTATATTAATAATTATTAATAAGTATTATTAATTATTAATAATCATTATTAATACTTATTAATAATTATTAATTATTCTCACAATGTTAGGAAAATGCAAAGAAACAAGCATGTAAATAATGTAATATCTACCAACGGTATAAAATAAACTGCTGTTATATTTTGATTGAAATATCAACGTTGCGTGAAGGAAAAAGCGTCTGAATAATAAATGGACCAGCGAAAGGAGATCAGTGCTCTCTTGCCTTTATTTAGAAAGTGGTGAGACTACTTTTTAACAATTTTACAGAACGTTCCGCTTTTTGGATGATATACATATAGGATATCTCATTAAAATTAATATAATAAAATATTTCAAAAACATTGCATTTTCGGAAAAAAAAAAATATTTCAGAGGAAAGTTGCAAAATTTGGAAAAAAATAAAAAAAGTCAGAAGAATGATGTATTGTTAATCTTTAAAAGTCACGTCAAGACTATTTTATATAACTTTTACACGCTTTCCATTTGATTCATAAACGACAATGCATAATAAAAAGCCGTTTTCTAATTTGTTTTCATATTTGAATCATGCAATTTAATTTAAATTAAATCTACTTCCTTTTTTATTTTGATATTAGTTCTCTCTCTTTCATATTTATATTTCCAATTTTCTCAATATATATATATATATATATATATATATATATATATTTTTTTTTTTTGTTTTGTTTAAACTTAGAAAAAATCAAAATAATGTTTTCAAAAATTGGAAAAAATAAAATAATTATAAATAAAAAATAACGAAATATTATCTTCAAAAAACATGTTTACTGCCTTCTTGACGAGTGTGGACAACGTAGGAAATTCCATTATTTCATGCAATGTGCAACTACAACGAAATTGGAGAACATTGATTCGTGAGAATTCATGAAGTTTGTTTTTTTACTACTCAATACTATGAAATAAGCTTGAAGAAACTTGATAAGAAATTATATACACAAATTACATATATGTATAGTGGGCGCCAATAATGCCTTAACATATAAAATTGGTCGCATTCGGGATTAATAATGACTAGTTATTATTATTAGTTATTATTAAATTATTATTAATTTTTTTTCCAAATTCAAATTAGCAATGTTATTATACTATCGTATTTATATCTCTTATTTATATCTTTTTAAAATAAATAAACGCATATCTTTAAGCAAATCATTAAATAAATTAATAACAATTTTTATTTTTTTACAGATTTTTTTATCTTTAAACAAATTTTAATAATTTTAATTTTTTTAATGCAATTTTTTTAAGAAATCCCGAATTAAAAAAACACATTAACACATGTCTGTTATTACATAAAGTCTTGTAAATATTCTTATCAATGTCTGTAACTTACTGATATCGTTATTGACACTTCGTCTGTGTGTTTCATGATTATACAAATAATGATATGATATCAAGAACAAATACTCAAAAATTCTAGATGTTATTCATAAAAAGATATTTACAAATGTGTTATTATTTTTAAATTTATATTAAAATCGTGCATCTACTTATTGTGTCATATCTTGTTATATTTCAACTATATTTTATGTAATCATAATTTTATATATTTATTTTACTTAAATTTGTAACAGCTGGTATACATGACTTGTCAATATAAAAATAAAAAGTTTACAAAAAATAAAATAAAAGAAGCGAAATATTTAAAACAAAGATATTAATTTCTTCATTTTTAATTTCTTAGAATTGAACATCTCGAAATAATCCGTGATAAAAAAAATGCATGTCATTATCAATGTAACCATTTACAGAACTTGGATTATCGGTAACAAAGTGCAGAGTTAAGAGAGACAGACGATCCACTTTTTGTGATAAATATAAAAAAAAGATAATAGAACTTACCCGCCAATGATGCTTTCTCCGATTGCTCCTGCTTTTGAGTTAGATCATTGTTAGTATTGTTGGAATGTGATCGCAAGTTTGGCAAAGCGACGAGAGCCAACGAAAGCAGCAAGACCATCAGACAAGTTGCTGGCTGAGCGCTCTTGTTGCCTTTTTGTATAAGCGCTTGGAGTCGCTTTAATTGACCAGCCAGACTTTGATTTTGCGACTGTAAGGCCTTAATCCGCTTCAATAAGCTTATATTCTCTTCCGTGCACTGCTTCACGCGATCTTCCAGGCCGTCCACGTATTCCTTTTTCCTCTTACGAGAATCTTGCGCGGATATCTTGTTGCGAATCTTACGTCTGATTCTCTTTAATTCACGCTCCTCGTGCTTCGTTAACGGATAATGACTCGGCAGCGTGATGCCCTCTTTTTGCAATAATCGTTTCTCTTCGGCGTTCAACTTAAGTCGCGGATAAGGTGAATCAGTTTCCGATGGCACCTCGTCACTCGAGTTACAACTTTTATCGCTGCTAGAATCCTCTTGCTTAATAGTCATCTAATTTAATTGCAACATGATAAAGTTACAAAACATATACACGTCATTTAATGTAACGTCAGTGTAATTATGTCTTTTATATGAATATATATAAAAAAGGACAAACATCATGATATACAGAGTGTCCCAAAAGTCCCGGATCGGTCGAATATTTCATAAACTATGCACTTTAGAAAGAAATGTTTCGAACAAAAGTTGTATGGCTTGAAGGGGGCGATCAGATAGTGGCAATGATTTGACATGGGAGAGTTATTTGAAAGTCACGTGAAGATCACCGTCAATTTCTTAAATGGAACCCCCTATTTTTTATTACATATTCGTGTAGCTTATCTCGAGAGCTTTCCAAAACACTATTAAAGTCATATAACTTTTGTGTGAAACATTTCTTTCTAAAGTGCATAGTTTATGAAATATTCGACCGGTCCAGGACTTTTGGGACACTCTGTATAATATGATTGTGATTAATGGTTGTATAACTTTCATATGTGTATACAGGGTGTTTCAGACTACCCGTACTACCCATTTAAAAACTAGAGAAGTGGTTATTTAAAAAAAGTAAAAACATTTTTTTTATAAATTGGGTGCGCTCTATCGAATGGTGATATTTTCAACTTTCGGTTCCGATCGGAAATAGGCGATTCAGACCGGCATTTTTTTAAATGGAACCCCCTATTTTTAATTGCATATTTTTGTAGCTTACTTCGAGAGCTTTCTAAAACACTATAATAAATTATTTTTTCATGAAGTACTTTTCGAGTTATGAGGCTTAAAATCTCTTAATTTTACATAAATCATAAAATATCTTGTAAAATATTCATTTTTCGATTACTTTACCTTAATACTTTTATGTACAAAATAATGAGAGGAATCAATTGGTGTAAACACATAGTTGTTTCGAAGAAAAAATATGTAATTTGCAATTAACAATTCCATATTTTTTCTTAAAAACAACTGTATGTTTTCTTTGCACCAATTGATTCCTCTCATTATTTTGTACATAAAAGTATTAAAGTAAGATAATCGAAAAATGAATATTTTACAAGATATTTTATGGTTTATATAAAATTAAGAAATGATTTCAAGCCTCATAACTCGAAAAGTACTTCATGGAAAAATAATTTATTACAGTGTTTTGGAAAGCTCTCGAGGTAAGCTACAAGAATATGCAATGAAAAATAGGGGGTTTCATTTTAAAAAATGCACTTTCGGTCTGAATCGCCTATTTCCGGCCGGAAGTTGAAAATATCACCATTTGATAGAGCGCACCCGATTTATGAAGATTATGTTTTTACTTTTTTGAAATAACCACTTTTCTAGTTTTTAAATGGGTGGTACGGATGCTCTGAAACACCCTGTATAGATAAATATAGATTTAAGAAATGATTAAAAATCTATTTAAATACTACACTTTGCATAAAACTTACCTGAACAGGTTTATTGATAATGTTTGCCTGATTGATTTTAAAGCCTTTCAGATTTTTCGCTTGACTGGCAGTCATGATTTTAATAGTCCGAACTTCCTTCATGTCTTTCAGACTCACCGGCAATAGAATAGACCGTGGATTACCGGACCCATTACTCACAGGAGTGACGCGTATCAATTGTCGAATATTCTGCTTTCCATTACATGTCAAATTACGGACATTCACGCTATTTTCCTGCGGTGTAATACGAATTTCCTGCTTAGGTGTTGAATCTGTAACACGCAAACGTGTGTCTCATTTTCTTCACCTGACATTGATCTTTCCTTATAAGAATAAACAGGTTAAGGAAAGAAATGTTACACATTAATATTATTAAAAAATATTTCGCACGACGTGATAGAATCTTACCAACATCAAAGGTCGCTGGCTCTGTGGCAATAGTACCCGTGTTTGGCATAGTATTGTTTGGTGTAACAACTGCAACCAGAGTTTGCTCGTAGTCCATTTCTTCAACCACGTCAGTAGCTGGTGATCCGATATTAGAGCTCATGACAGATCTGACGGGGCTGTCCACGCTGCCCAAAGACGGACTAGCCGCTGGCTCGAAGTCCACAAAGTCTTGTGGACTGCTCAAGTCGGAATTGCTGATCTCGATCTCATCCTTGTCCACCCTCGACAAGAACGGGCTTAATTGCTGTTCATAGGAGAGACTTAGTATACTGGAGAGTCCACTGTCTGACGAGGAGGACGGAACTGTTTCCAGATCCCTGCCGATCAAGTTGAAGTCGAGTTGCGAATCTTCCTCCAGTTTCAAGATCGAGGCGAATAAGTCGTCGGGATTCGTCGGACATTCTTCCGCCTGTAATAATCATGTGTTTATCATTCTTTTTCTTTTATAATATTTCCATAATAATACTTCCATACCGATAATATTTCTATATCCATAAATAATATAATAATAATATTTTATTAATATTAATATAAAAGTTTATATTGTACTTAATATACAGAGTGTCCCAAAAGTCCCGGACCGGTCGAATATTTCAGAAACTATGCATTTAGACAGAAATGTTTCAGACAAAAGTATGGCTTGAAGGGGGCCATCAGTGACAATGATTTGACATGGGAGAGTCATTTGAAAGTCACGTGAAGATCACCGTCAATTTCTTAAATGGAACTCCCTATTTTTTATTACATATTCGTGTAACTTATCTCGAGAGCTTTCCAAAACATTATAATTAAATATTTCTTCATTGAGTACTTTTCGAATTTGAGGCTTGAAATCATTTCTTAATTTTACATAAACCGTAAAATATCTTATAAAATATTCATTTTTCGATTATCTTACCTTAATAATTTTATGTACAAAATAATGAGAGGAATCAATTGATGTAAAGAAAAAACATAGTTGTTTTTAAGAAAAAAATATGTAATTTGCAATTAACAATTACATATTTTTTTTTGAAACAACTATGTGTGCATAGTTTATGAAATATTCGACCGGTCCGGGACTTTTGGAACACCCTGTGTATGTGGCTTTTATTACACTTTATATTACATTATAATATTATATTAGTATATATATATATATATATATATATATATATATATATTATACTTATAATATTATACTTATGATATTATATTAATATTATATTTATAAAATTACATTACTTAATTATAAAAAGATTGAAAAGTGTAGGGATCGAACAAGTTTCATTTTAACAATTAAGGAATGAGAATGTAAAATTAAGATAAATTAAAAAATAGAGAAAACTGATAGGCAAATGACTTTTGTAATCAAAACAACGATTTTATTTTCGCTCGAATATTTGTATTATCATATATATTATCATATATATATTATTATGCTGTAAATAAGATGATGCCATATATTAGACTTATCAGAAAAATAATAAGCAAACAATTTTTTTTCTTTTCCTCAAATTATAACGTAATTTTATTAATTTTAATAGTTAGAAAAATAATTTTATTAATTTAAATATTATATATATATATATATATATATATATATATATATTAATATCGCATATACGCCGCATCACGTGAAAATAAATAATATAAATTTCGAGATAATATAATATATCGGTATGCAATGTAGGGTTAAAACAGGCAACGAAGAGTTCCGTAATCTAACGGTATCCATTCGAGGGTCATTCGCCGTGTAGTTTGTATGTATATGATTGTAAGGCTCAAAAAAGTTGGAGAAGAAATTCTTTACGTATATTAGGTACTATTGTAATACGAAAAATAATTTATATATATATATATATATATATATATATATATTCGAGAAAAAAATATTATTCAATAATAATTTACAATATAAATAATTTAATTAATTATATCGACAAAATATATAAATATATAAATAATTTAATTAATTATAACGACAAAAGAAACAACACACACACATATATATATATATATATATATATATATATATAAAAATATAAAATATTAATTTTAACACATATTATATAAAATATTATTATGTATGTATAAAATATAAATATATAATAAACAATATTAAAAAAAAATGTAATATATAATATATTAATAAAAAGAATTTTAACATTTAATGTACATTAGGGTACATTAAGGTACATTTATTTTTCGCAAAAAAATTCAGGAAAACAAATCTAAATGCTATAAATAAGAAACAAATCTAATCTGGTATTCATTTTAGCGGCAGATTCGCGACGCGAGCACGTGGACTTTTAGCGCCATATGTTAATTAAAAAATCGACTCCAATCAAACCGTTTCCGAAAGATACACTCGTACCTTCTGCGATATTGTTCCCTAACGAATTATGAGGCGCGAATTTTTTGCGAAATAATTTTTTATGTCATATATCATTATTTTATTATGATATCAATAACGATATTAATTATTGTATTTTTGCACGAGAAATTTGAACTTGGTACAATTACGATATAAATTGTTTATGAAAAATGTAAAATTTTAAATAATAATAAATTATTATTAAATTAATTAAATTAAACAAATGCAATTCATATTCATTTTTGTTGGCGGGCATTTCATACTTGCAGAGCATGTGCGTGCATCTATCTGCCATATGTTAACGTAGATTGAACGCGGTTTTGCAACGTAATCGAATTTATTGACAAATGCACGTGTGGTTTTTAATCATGAACAAAATTATCCTTGGAAAAGTCAATAAAGCTGCGACTTTAGACGCAGTTTCAATTGTTGATTATATTATGAAATGTCGATGCTGAAATGTATCATTTTTACGCTAATCGGTTCAACTCTGTCATTTGTTTCTTAAAAATAAAAATAATAATAATAATAATAGTTTTTATTATTAATAATAATATTAATAAAAGAAAAATTATTCACCAACTTAATCGGCAAAAATTGATTCTAGTTAAGTTTCAAATTACTTAAATAAGTGTTTTTCACACTCGAAGCTTTTACTTGTTAATTATTGCGAAAAAAATTGAAAAATAAGTAGAATATATAAAATATATCTCGCTGCAATTTTTCTACGAAAAATTTTCCAAATATTAACTCTCTTCTCTAGAAATATATAACTGTCAGCATTTCAATCAAGATCATAAATTAATAATTTATTTTTCAGAATTATAATTCTAAAATTCATAGAAATTTAATTCTTCCATTTTATTAAACACAAAATATATTTCTCATAAATTAATAAATACACAATCATAAGGTTAAACAAATGGCTCTCTTCTGAAAAAAAGAGATGACAGATGTTACAAAAAAGTAAACACTGTAAATTTTAAGTATTTTTCATTGTTTTTAATTAAATATTATTTCATTAAATATATTTATTATTTAATTAATTTATTATTTATTAATTAATTTATTAATTTATTTTATTATTTATTAATTTATTATTTAATTAAATATTAAATATTTAATATTTAATTAAATATTTAATTAAATAATAAAATAATAAATTTAATTAAATAATAATAAATATTAAATATTTAATTAAATATTAGAAACTAAATGAATATTAAACAGGCATTTTTTTCTGTGTGTGTCAATTTAAGTTTGAGGCGGTGATTAAAGCCGACACCACGTGCACGCTAGAAACTTAACAAACGAGATGAGGGTGGCCCGGGAGACTCACCGAGGCGATGACATCGTCGCCATAATTATCGACGAGCAGCTCGTCCTTAACTTCCTCCTTGAGAAACGTGTCCTCGAACAAATCGTACAGGTTCATGTCTGACGACATCACTGTCTGACCTAACGTAAGTGCAAGATACTCGCCGTGCAAGTTTCTCTCACGCTGCCATTAAACGAGGCAGACCGAAGCCACGGGACGATCAACGCGAGTCACTCGATCGTATCTGGCTGGTGCGAGTCGCGATTCGAGGAAGAGCCGACGAGCCTCGGAACCTGTCCTCGCCCCACTTCGAGACTTCGCGCGCGAACCGCTTTGACACTTGACACTTGACGCTTGACGTTCTTTCGCGCTGACGTTTTCACATTTTCGCCCGAAGCCGTCGTCCTGAGGGCGTTGAACGAGGAAAACCGATGAGGTTCACGCACGAGTTCCCCTCGAGGAAAATCGCGTAGCGCTAGAGACTCGATTGCCAACGTGGCATATCTGGCGTATCTGGCCAGCGCACACGCGCAGCAACATATATGTGTATACACAGTGTCATTATAGTACGAGCATCGATCAGGTGTTTTGAAGAGGGTTGAGTTGATCGGAAATTCGTGTAGTTCTTGGAAATTTCGTTGCGCTTGGGACTAGTGTTGCCAATTTAGCTACTTTGTAGCTAGATATAGGGTGCTTTCCAGCTATGGTAACACAGGGTGCTTTCCAATTGAGATATCCCTAGACACTTTTATGCACACGGCGACACAAGTCGCGTTCCAATTGCCGTAATTGCCGACACAACTTTACACATCCGTACTCAGCTCGAGGGCTACTAGTCAACTTGTGTAACCTTCTGTTTTCTAGGGACAAATGAAATATGCGGTTACAGACTGACGGCGATTATGTTGGCAATTTTCTTTTCGTTTTATCCTTTTTAATTAAAAGACAACCATTAAAGTACACCATACAAATACAAAAATGGACAATAAAAATATTAAAAGTATCATTGAAGTAAGTAATTCAAATTAATGAGTTTTTGTACAATTAATTTTTTTATTATATTTAATAAATAAAATAAAATTGTCTCTTTTGCATATTTGCAGGTTAGATATATTACTGATTAAATTTTCATTCATATTTATATATTAATATAATATGCATTTATATATTTTATTTATATATTATTTATATATTATATAATATTATGCATATATACATCTATGTATGTTAATAACTTTGCTTCGAATTATTTACAGACTAATTACACAAATTTTACGTGTGCAACATGTTTTTCCCTTTTACCAAATGGAGAAGAATTGTATGAACATATTTGCTTTAAGGAAAAAACTATTTATTCGAATGAGGGCGTTATTTATTGTTTGAGTGATGATCAAGAAACTTTCATCGAATTTGATGCCTGTCTACACGCAATGGTCAATCCATTTTATATATCGATGCTATCACCCTCAGCATGGATTAAAAAATATCAAGATGGACATGGTTATGAAGAATCCTAACCCTCCACTCGAAAGTCGCACATTAACTTTGTTCCAATTGAGTCGTGCACATCGCTACACTTTGTGCCTTCCTGTGTATGTTTGTGTTAAGATGTGTTAAACAATTGGAAAGCACCCACAGTGATACACTGTGTGACACAGTGGGTCTGTTCTTTTTAGCTGCACTGCTACACTAGTGCAATAAGTTGAAAAAAGATAAACATACTTTCTTTCACTCTAACTAATTGCACTAGTGCAGCAGTGCAGATAAAAAGAACAAGCCCAGTGTTACACAGTGTCGACTTGTAGCTGGAACGCTTTTTAGCTTTCTTATTTTGCCACTAGAGTGCAGGGCAGTCACTTTTAATAGTTGTCACTAGGTCTAAATTTTCAGAACGTTCCCACACAACATTATGTCGTCTTAAAGACGTCTAGATGTCTTTAAGTCGTCTTTTTAGCGAATATAAAAGTTTGGTTATCTTCTATCACGCAATACCATTCTTAAAAAAATTAATGATACCAAATATGAAATGTTATGTTGGCACTCACTGGGGTGCTACAAAACGACGACACAGGCGAACACAGCATTTTTGCTGTGTACGATTGTGTCGACTTGTGTCGTAGTTGGAAAGCACTTGTATCGACACTGTAGCGACACAGTGTCGCCTGTGTCACTTGCTGGAAAGCACCCATAGCTATTTTTTCTTTCATCTGGCTTGTAAAAAATGGATTTAGCTATTTTTCTGGCTTTTTTTTTCATAAAAAGTTAAAACATTTTTGTACGGTATTAATGATTACAAATGTTTTAAAATTTTGGGTAAATATTCGGAAAATGGTACACCTCACCGATTTCATCGCTCTTTGGATATGTTGTAGAGGAAGTTATTCTGAGTAAACCTCCGCAAAAATCAAGTGGGGGACGACATTGGTTTAGGAGATATAACAAGTTGAAGTTTCAAAATTTTAATGCTTCTTGCCGCAATATCTCACCATTATACGACTCTATTCAAAAATGTAAACATGTTTACGTTCTCAAAAGCACATGTTTGCGTTACAAAGTACACGCCCAGACTGCACACCCCCCCACCCCACCCCCACCTCCCACCCCCCCGTTGCGAACCCATGTGAAATCTTCCTTTGCATGGAGTTTGCAACGGGGGGGGGGGGGGGGGGTGTGCAGTCTGGGCGTGTACTTGTAGGGGTGAACCTTGCTTCGCGTGAAAAGTACAATTATAGACCTCGCTTCGTACCGAAAGCAGGGGATGGTAAAGGTGGACCTCGCTTAGTACCGAAAGCAGAGGATGATAGAAGTGAATTTTGCAAATGTATAACACCGATATCACACAAAACTAAACATGTTTACATTTTTAAATAGAGTCGTATAATGGTGAGATATTGCGGCAACAAGCATTAAAATTTTGAAACTTTAACTTGTTATATCTCCTAAACCAATGTCGTCCCCCACTTGATTTTTGCAGAGATTTACTCAGAATAATTTTCTCCACAACATATCCAAAGAGCAATAAAATCGATGAGGTGTACCATTTTCCGAATAATTACCAAATTTTGAATTAAGGTCTTTGCATGTACAAAGATTTTGGTCGTAATCGTAAAATCGTAAGGAAACTGACAAATCATAGTCGAGTATTCTGATGAAAATCCTTTTAAGAACATTGCAGAAGTAGCTTTATTATTTCTAGTACTTCCAATCTCAAATGCAGAAGTTAAGCATATTTTCAGTTAACTCAACTTAATAAAAAATAAAACAAGAAATAATTTAAGTCTTAATATGATTAATTCAATATTAAAAATGTAATTTGCAATTAACAATTACATTTTTTTGTTCGAAGCAATTATGTGTTTTCTTTACACCAATTGATTCTTCTCATTATTTTGTACATAAAAGTATTAAGGTAAAATAATCGAAAAATGAATATTTTACAAGATATTTTACGGTTTATGTAAAATTAAAAAATGATTTCAAACCTCATAACTTGGAAAGTATTTAATGAAAACTAATATAATTGTAGTGTTTTGGAAAGCTCTTGAGATGAGCTACAAGAATATGCAAAAGCATATAAGGTGTCCCATTTAAAAAGTTGGAGCTGTCCTTCACGTGACCTTCGGGTGGCTCTTCAAGATTAAACTAATGACACCATCATATGTCCCCCTTGAAACCATACAACTTTTGTCTGAACAATTTTTTTGTATTCGGCTTACCAACGGAGTTATTCAGGTGGCCTGTTTTAGATGCCTCACCCTGTATATATATATATATATACCCAGCAAACACCAAGTAACAGTTATATAACTGTTAGTTGTAATTTCCCACTCAACAATATAACAGTTACATAACAGATATGTTATGTAACTGTTATATTGTTGAGTGGGAAATTACAACTAACAGTTATATAAATGTTACTTGGTGTTTGCTGGGTATGTATGTATATATATATATATATATATATATATATAATTTAAGTGAGAATTTAAATATATTAAAATAAATATATATACATATATGGATATATTTATTTATTTATATTGCTTAATAATAAAATTTAAATATTATAGCTTAAAAATAAAAATACAGAAATTTTTATAAAATATTTTATTCATTGAAATAAGCACCTTCATAATTTATAATTTTGTTTTCGAAGTACAAGTTTATAAATTTTTATCTTTATAAACTGTATTTTTAGAAATAAAAAGATTGGTAATTTTCATTTCATTCTGTACTCTGGACTTTAATTGTCATTTTTTAAAGAACAAATCTTACTGATAAGTATTATATAATAAAATCTTGCGTTAAATTTTAACTATTAATTTTAACTATTTGCGTTAAATTTTAACTATTAATCTAGTTATTATTTTTTCTTGACATTAAAATTTAGCTATTATCAGAGAGAAACCTGAGAGCGGCCACCAGCCTCGACGGGCACATTTCTCGATGCTTGACGCGCCGTCTGACAAAGTGGACGTGAACTATGTCCATTACACTCGGTAACGAAACATGGTTTGTGTCTATGATATGGGTTCATGTCCGAACTATTCAGAGATGGACAGTCGGATAAGAATCGATAATTCATCGTTCTGTCTTTGTCTCATCAATGACAGACCACGCGACTGCCACGCGACGAGCTTACGATTTTGCTTTCCTCTTTCTCTCGTCGCGCTTTCACGTTCTTCGTTATGATGTAATAACGAAATGATCTTCACATAATCCTAATTTTTTAAGGGTATTGGCAGACAAGTTTTCCAACTTTGTATGTCCTGTAACAAAAATACAACACATTATGAAAATTACGATTACATGCTTACTTCAAGCTGCCATAGCAATTGGTATACCGAATGTTTGATAAAAAAAATTTTTTTATGTCAGGCGTGTTGGTTATAATCAATTCGATAAAGTGTTACTTCATAATAGCGCGTAGCAGTGCAAGTAAGATGACTGCTTGTCACGGCGCTGACCCGAGTTCGAATCTCTCTGCTGTCGTTTTTTTTATTTTTATTTTATGAAATAATAAAATAACAAATAATATGTATTGAATTTGGGAGCAGAAAAGGCAAAAAATTAATAAAATAATGACAATTATTGCACAAAAACATACTTGTATTGCCTATCCATGTATTGCATCTTGTATCCTTCTGCATTGGAAATCGGAATAGCCGTTTCCTATGCGAAAATCTCCCATTCTTACATTCTTTACTTTATTTCTGTACACGCACTTATCATAATAACTATCTATAGGGCACTGGCTCGACATAGTGATTGTTTATTATAATGCAAAACAAAAAAATATAAAAATAAAATTAAAAAAACTTAAAAATAGAAATAAAAGAGAAATACAACACGTGATAAAAAAATAAAAAAATTACACAACCAACACAATAAAAGCATACACGCACGTACGTGTACACGCAGAAATATTTATAGATAATGTGTCGTGTTATATAAAAGAAACGATAATACGTGTTGCAAAATACACAGATCTTACAGATCGTTAAAAAAATATAAATTTAAAACAATAGAAGAGATCTGTTATGCACAGATAATGAAGTACCGCAGAAAAATCACGACAGTGAAACGTAATTCTTTTATATATTAATAAAAGATTAAAGAATTTGTTTATTGTTAATGTAAAGTTATTTTGTATATCATCATACAAAGAATTATAGTTTCACAAACTGATTTATCTATCTTTTTGTTATTATTTTCAAAATTAAATATAATTACATAAAAAATGATTACATAAAATTAATCATCCGAATTATCGATCTTATCAAGACATGAGCCAGGATGATATTTATCATAAAAACATGAAAAACATAATGTAATACAATATCTAGCGCATTGGATGCTGTATTGTGCCGTATATGTGTGAGCAATCTTATTAAAACTTTATTTTTTTACAAGAAAATTATTCACATCATTCGATACACTAGATGTTATATTACATTATGTTTTTCATGTCTAACACTAACACGCAAATGCATCAAAGTAAGATATCATTCGTATTGATATGTATATTTTTTTAATTAATTAATTATTTAAAAAATATATAAAATAAAATATTACTATAATAATATGAGAGTTGTAAGCATTTATGAAATACAGATATAATTATTTTAAATAAAAAGAAAAGGTTTTATTAAAAAACATTTTTAATAAATGTCTTTATAATAAATAAATAAATTTGTCTCTATATATTGGGCGCCCGAAGTCGTCTCGAAATCCTATCCGAATTATGTAAAATGTAGCGCGTGAAATATGAGACGGGGCCGACAAGGGATGGAAGGAGACATGAGCTTTACGATAGAAAATCACCGCTCGCCTCATGCCTACCGCCGCGTGATTTGCCATCATTGGTGAGACAAAAGCAGAACGATAGATTATCGGCTCTTGTCTAACTCTCATGTCCATCTCATGTGAATAATTCGGATATGAACCATAGCTCGGACATGAACCATAGCTCAGATACGAACCATGTATTATTATCGACTGTAATGGATGTAGTTGACGTCCACTTTGTCAGGCGGCGCATTAGGACAATGTGCCCGTTAAAGCGAGGTGGCCGCTCTCAGGTTTCTCTCTGATAATATTCTTGCGTAGTTAAAGGTGCATTTTCACGTGTCGCTGAAACTGATCATTTGAGCGACAAAAATGATCACGTGACGACTTTTGTCGCTAAACTATTACAGCGGTAGCTTGTGCACATGAAAAAAGATTGCAGCAATAAAGTTGTGTTGTAGAAAGCAATAATGGCAGCTTTCAAAAGCAGAAAATATTATAATTGGATATCAAATTGTAAGAAACTGACTGTGGGTGTTTACGACAATTAATCGGATCTCTGATCGGATTGAACAGTGGTACTCAGCGATAGACTTCCTAAATTTCCCTAGACTAATCCGGATCAATGATAAAGAAGACATACAGGGTGTTTACGACAATGGGTCTGTTCTTTTCAGCTGCACTGCTGTACTAGTGCAATTAGTTAGAGTGAAAGAAAGTATGTTTGTCTCTTGCTAACTTATTGTACTAGTGCAGCAGTACAGCTGAAAAGAACAGACCCAATTAATCGGATCTTTGATCAGACTGAACAGTGGTACTCAGCGATAGATAGCTTTCTAAATTTCCCTAGACTAATCCGGATCAATGATGTGTCTCTGAAGTAATCGAATTAGATTAATAGTCATCGAAAAAAATTGCGGTCGAGCTGATCGAAAAAATTGTGAAAAACATCATAAGAAATTATAGAAGATACTTTATTATTCTTTTAATTAATATATCTTTATTTATCAAATATATATTAATAAACAAATGTATTTTACTAGAATAAGATGTTTTCTATAAAATAAGAATAAGTTGTTAATCTAATTCGATTACTTCAGAGACACATCATTGATCCGGATTAGTCTAGGGAAATTTAGGAAGTCTATCGCTGAGTACCACTGTTCAGTCCGATCAGAGATCTGATTAATTGTCGTAAACATCTACATCTACTTGTTTTTAAGAAAAAATATGGAATTGTTAATTGTAAATTACATATTTTTTCTTAGAAACAACTATGTTTTCTTTACACAAATTGATTTCTTTCATTATTTTGTACATAAAAGTATTAAAGTAAAGTAATTGAAAAATGAATATTATACAAGATATTTTATGGTAAAATTAAGAAATGATTTCAAGGCTCATAACTCGAAAAGTACTTCATAGAAAAATAATTTATTATAGTGTTTTGGAAAGCTCTGAGGTAAGCTACAAGAATATGCAATAAAAAATAGGGGGTTCCATTTTAAAAAAATGTACTTCCGGACTGAATCGCCTATTTCCGGCCGGAACCAGAAGTTGAAAATATCACCATTCGATAAAGCGCATCCGATTTATAAAGAAAATGTTTTTACTTTTTTTAAATAACCACTTCTCTAGTTTTCAAATGGGTGGTACGGGTAATCTAAAACATCCTGCATATATAGATCATTATTAAAATTTCACCTTTATCTATAATACTTATTATTAATAATTATCATTTATATTCCAAATAATGAAAATTAATAATATTATAATATAAATTAAATTAAATAATTAAATAATTAAAATTTATATAATTTATATAATATTTTATATAATTTATATAATTTTAATATAATTTATATAATTTATATAATATGTAATATAATTTATATAATAAAATTTATTATAATATAAATTAAATTAAATAATTAAAATTTAAATGTGAGCGGGAAAATCTGTAAAAATGGCGAACCAATCAGATTGGCCCCCGATGGCCAATCTCTTAAGGTGCCTTTACATGGGAGCGTTTTAGCGTCGAGCGTTAAAGCGTCAAAAAGTGTGACATGCGCAGTGTGCCTAGTGATTTGTTGAAACGCTGGAGCAGTCAGTAAATCATCTAAATTGCGGAATATTATCAAATATTATCATTATTATCAATATTATCAATATTATCATTATTATCAAATATTATCAATAAAATGTCAGTTAATTATCGTTATCATCAATGGTTATTAGAATGCAGCAGCATTATTAATCATGAATATAAGAAACAAAAAAAAGTTACGTGCACACTCCACACGTTATATCCTATACAAAGAATACATTGTAATAAATAATATTCATGTTGTATTTAGAAAATATATATTTATGCCAATTATTCCTTCTGTTTGGTTATGTTGTAATACGCTACTAATCGCGCAATTCTATAATATATATTGTATAATGATATCTATTATATCTATTATATCTATTATATTTATTATATATTATATATATTAATACATTTTCTATTAAGAATATACAATCTACTTACCTCTACCGTATTTATTAAAATTTTGTTACTAGACATTGTTTTAGCGTCAAGATGCTGGAATCTGCCTGTTCAGAATTATGCGCAAGGGTGCTGCGCACGTGTTTTTGACGCTCGACGCTTGACGCTAAACGCTTCCATCTAAAGACGCCTTTATCAGAGGGTCTCCAACCAACACTGTCCCGTCTATGTATCTCGCACACGTCCACGACCTGTCCCGCATCTCTCTCGAGTGAGATGGTCGCCTTTTTTTATGTTTTCGCGTGCACCGAGTACAGCTGGATATCGCTAGACATGTCAAAGATGACAGCGATGGCGAAGCTATTCTCGGCCTGACACCGAGTCCCGCCCGGGGAGCGTCGTGCGACTCGACTCGCGTGCATTTCACTCGGAAATCGTTATGAATAATCGTTGACAGCGCTCGGCTTCTGTTCGCGAAGGCTGCTGCTCCGACAATCGCGACATGGCATCTCGCAGGTGAGGTATCTTTCGACGCGAGACAAGCGTAATATTCCACGATGATTCACTTCCTCGTGCTCTCGGGTGTCCTCGTCGACCACGGGGACGATCCTCTCCCGACCCTCGACATCCCCGATCCGTCCGAGCGAGTCGGTCGGAAAAAATGGCCCGCCTTTTTTCAAGTCGTTCGCGAATTTTTGCCGCCCTTATTTATTCAGCCGAGGCTCTCGGATTGACTTGAAACGATTCTCGCGATTTTTTAACGAGCCTCCTGCACCTCCTGTCATCGTCCATGGTAGAGTTTCACTCGCGAACAAATTCGTCATCGTTCGCGACGTTTGTGTCTTGTTACCATTTTTGGTATGATGCTGTTTCTGCCTGCTCCAATTGGTTTGCAACTCGTGTACTGCCTTCAATTACTCGGGCATTTGCGATTGTTCCTCGCCCACTGTTGCTGGGAATCGAGGTCCCTTGGATTTTCTTATACATTTGCAAGTAGATTATTTCAGAATAATTTCATGATAATTTATAATATTTTATTTCATATTTTATTTCATAATATTTTATAATAATTTATAATGATTTCAAACGTAAATAGTGTATTATACTTTCAAAATTAAAAGAAAATATATATATATATATGTATATAAGTGTAGTTGAACGATTAGTCGCAAATTATCGTGTATAGCGTAAAAAGATAGGACTAATGAGATGATAACGATATCCAAATTGCAGATGGTTTCATCCCAATATCACTGGTTTGGAAGCGGAACGTCTATTGATGGAACGAGGATTTGACAGTTCATTTTTAGCGCGACCGAGTTCCTCAAACCCTGGTGATTTCACATTATCTGTGAGGTAAGTGTGACAAAATTATCTTATTTTTGCGTAAACATACAAATTAATTAGCAAAGTTTACAAATTGCATAAATCAATGTAACACATTAGATATCTCTTATCTTTTCTTCAGGCGAAATGGCGAGGTGACTCATATTAAGATACAAAACACGGGAGACTTTTATGACCTTTACGGCGGTGAGAAGTTTGCCACGCTTTCCGAGTTGGTGCAGTTTTATATGGAAAATGGTGGGCAATTGCGTGAGAAAAACGGTGAAATTATCGAGCTCAAGTATCCTCTCAATTGCGCTGATCCTACAACCGAAAGGTATCTTTGCATAGATATGTGCACATGTTTCTCTGCTTAATATCTATCCTTTCGACATACATGGTTCACCCATTTCCTTGTTAATATTTTGAATATTTTTCAATATTTGAACACCAATTTAGTACAGCATATGCTAATAGTAAAATGTGGCTCAAGGTGGTTTCACGGTCACTTGTCAGCGAGAGAGGCGGAACGGTTAATGCTGGAACGTGGGAAAAATGGATCTTTTTTGGTGCGCGAGTCTCAAAGTAAACCAGGCGATTTCGTGCTGTCCGTACGCACCGACGATCGTGTCACTCACGTTATGATACGATCTCAGGTTGATAATTTCATATGTAACATCCTCATCAACATATTTAAGATTAGAATCAAATGTACGCATTGTGACCTCGTCGGAACCAAACAATATTTCTATGAAATTTTCGATGAATTTCTATGAATTTTTCTCTTGGTTTTCATTCTTATTTTAATGGCATACGCATAAAATTATAATGTCGTATATTTTGATTTTCATATAAAGAGCAGGGTTGGGTAATAACTAGTTGATTAGTTAAAAGTTAAAAAAAAATTAAAAAGTTAATAATTTTTAACTCAACTTAGTTATTTTAAAAAGAGTTAATTTTTAATTTTAACTAGTTATTTTTAAAACACATAAACTTAAACTTATTAACTTTTTCCCCAAATTTATTTGATGATTCATATTATTATTATTTAGAGTAATCTAATTTTAAAATTACAATCTAATTTAATATAAAGTGAAATAATGCTTTTCAAAATTTTAACTTTTATCTTAACTAACGTTAATTTAATCTTAATGTAACTTTTATTGAGTTAATTTTTTATTTGTATAACTTTTAACATAACTAAATTAATTTTTTAACCCATTAACTTTAACTTAATTTAGTTTAAAAAAAATATAAACTTACCCAACCCTGATAAAGAGAAAAAGACAAATAACTGGAAGGCAAATCATTCGTAGGTATACCGAAGAAGTGAAATTTTTTCTGCTGTGATTTTTTTCTGACATCAGTTTTTTTTACGTCTAAAAGCAGAATAATATACTGACACATATTTTATAAAATATATATATTTTAAAAAACATTATATATATATATATATATATATATATATATATATATACACAGGGTGGTCCCGAACGTTCCAGCCAGACTTTGAGATTTTATAGGAAATTTAATTCTGAACAAAAAATTTCCTATAAACATAGGTAGAAAAATGTTTCCTTAAAAAGTTATCGCTCAAAAACCTCTGATGAAGGAAGAGCAAAAGATGAAAAGAAAATGAAATAAAAAGAAAATGAAACTAAATAAATTTCTTGAAAAAAACGATAAAAATAAAAAATAAAAATCTTTTTCTTTTATGAAAATAAAATAATTTTTTTTTAACTAACTTTTATTTTCATAAAAGAAAAAGATTTTTATTTTTTATTTTCATCGTTTTTTTCAAGAAATTTATTTAGTTTCATTTTCTTTTTATTTCATTTTCTTTTCACCTTTTGTTCTTCCTTCATCAGAGGTTTTTGAGCGATAACTTCTTAAGGAAGTATTTTTCGACCCATGTTTATAGAAAATTTTTTGTTCAGAATTAAATTTCCTATAAGAATCCTATAAGAATCCTATAAGAAGATCTCAAAGTCTGGCTGGAACGTTCCGGGCCACCCTGTATATATAATTTTGGTGGCTGAAATATATGCATTGAACTTTACTTAAAAAAATAGTACAATATTGCAAACATGATGACACCTTAATCCAATTTATTACTTTGATTTACACTTTTCTTGCTCAATTAAGAATCTTATACTTTCTCCCTCCAGTTATTTTCTTTCTTCCATGTGATTTTTCACTCATTTCTTCATTATAATGTGATAGTATATGGCAAATAGAAAACAGTGCAAGACAAAAATTTACTTTATGAGTTTACAATGTCGAAATTCACAAAACAAACATTTGATTGTACACATGTATATACATTTTTAAAATTATTTTAAATATTCATTATTTTATAATACTAAATTTTTAATTATACATATATATATATATGTATGATAATTATACACATATATGTATATATATGTATAATAATTATACATACATATATGTATAATATATAATAATACATATGTTGAAAAATCAATGTAAATATATAAAATTAATTAATATTCTTAATTAAATATATTTTAACTTTTTAATTTAATTTAATTTAATATTATTAATTATATATAATAATGAAATATATAAATTAAATAATAATAAATAATTAATATTTAAAATTAATTAATATTGCAGGACAACAAGTATGACGTAGGTGGTGGTCACAAGTTTGACAGTCTCAGTGATTTAATAGATCACTATAAACGAAATCCCATGGTTGAAACAAGCGGAAGTGTTGTACATCTTCGGTAAGAAACATTTCTAATAAATAATATTTGTATACAATATTTATAATTAAGTAACATAGTTGAAGCCTTTTATATTAAAATATAAATGTATTAAAACATTTTCTTCAAACTTACCATACTTTTTCATTTTATCTTTTTTCAAAATTGATGTATAATATTCATCTAACAAATATTGTTTATAGGCAACCATTCAATGCAACACGTATTAATGCTAGTGGAATCGAGAGTAGAGTTAAGCAATTACATAAAGAAAATGGCTGTTCTAATGGTTGGCTATGGAATGGAACGACTGGAAATAATGAGGGCGGAGCCGGTCGTGGCAAAGGAAAAGCTGGATTTTGGGAAGAATTCGAATCGTTACAACAATTAGAGTGCCGACATTTATTTTCGAGGAAGGAAGGTTTACGCCCAGAGAATCGCGCAAAGAATCGTTACAAGAACATCTTACCCTTTGATGATACTAGAGTACGATTAAAAGATGTAGATCCAAACATCCCTGGAGCTGATTATATTAATGCTAACTATATAAAAGTAAGATCTCTTTTTGGCAAGATATCTCGGAAGTAATATATCTTTTAAGATAGTTTTTCCTTAGCAAAGATATTGAATGGATTAGTCATTTATTTGTGCTTTCACAATTCTTAACATTGAATTTATTCTTCATAATTTAGCTTATTAAGTTTATATTAAGAAAGTGAATTTTATGAAAGTACTCGAACATATATGATTGTTATCTTTCTCTCTGAATTTTAATTTATAATAATTAATTTATAATAATATAATTAATTAATAATATAATTAATTTATAATATAATTAATTTATAATAAATTTTTTATTTTCTGAGTCATCTGAACTATAGATACCTTGTTATTTTAATTGAAAAAAATTTATTTGAACAAGGAAAAATACATTTAATAATTTTGGAATTATATATATTTTCATAAGTTTATCAATTACATGATAGAATTATATTTTGTAGAACGAGGAAGACCCTATTAACAGTGGCAGCGATATAACAACATTTGGCAAATATTATATAGCCACACAAGGTTGTCTTCCAAATACCATACAAGACTTTTGGCACATGGTCTATCAAGAAAATACTCGCGTGATTGTTATGACTACAAAGGAAGTGGAGAGAGCAAAAGTATGTAGACTCTGAGTGCTGTCCCAAACAAAAAACGAAATTGGATATATCTTATTATTTTTCTTTCTAGAATAAATGCGCACGTTACTGGCCGGAAGAAGGAGAAGTTACTGAATATGGTAATGAATGGAAAGTGCGCGCTGTATCGCGAACCTCGACTGCTGATTATACTCTGCGTGAATTTCTCCTACAAGGAACCAAACCGAACTTTTCTGAATCTAGGAGAATTTATCATTACCATTTTCAAGTAATGTGTCTGATTATGATTATCTACTTCCTGTGATTTCTGTCAGATTCCTCAGGTTATTTAAACGAAAAGGAAAAAAAAACTTTAATACCAAAATGTTGAGATTAATAATATTTTTAATGAAAATTATTAAAAATTTGATTAATTAAATTGTCTAAAGTTTGCGTGTATTTTGGACACTAAATTATAAATATTTCTTATTTAATAATTATTATAGTCTCAGCATTTCTTTATTATTTTTTTATTTGCAAATAACTTTAGGAATTTGCCATTAATCGATAATTAAGTTTGCATGTATTTTGGACACTAAATTATAAATATTTCTTATTTAATAATTATTATAGTCTCAGCATTTCTTTATTATTTTTTTATTTGCAAATAACTTTAGGAATTTGCCATTAATCGATAACTAAATTACCATAGAAAATCTGAGATATCCTATATTATAATTATTATATACACACAAGATTCACTTTAATCTTCTCACAAAATATCTATTTTCAAGCACAGTAACTTTAAGATATTTTTTAACAATTATTTTAACAATCATTAATTTCGAGCATAATTACATAAAATATAAAAGAATGAAAGCAAATCATTCTGTTAATATAGGAAATATAAAAAATATATATGATAAATAAATTGTCATATACATTTTTTATATTTATTATACAGAATAATTTTATTTGTAATTATTAATAAATATTAAATATATTAAGTACATGAATTTTGTGTGCGTATGTATATATTAAATAATATTAGAATTAAATATCACATAATTAATTAATAGGCATGGCCTGATCATGGTGTTCCATCAGATCCTGGCTGTGTGCTGAATTTTCTGCACGATGTAAATGCCAGACAAGAATCAATTGCTGCATCTTTGGCTTCCAGCAATCAGAATGTACCATGCATAGGACCCATTCTTGTCCATTGTAGTGCCGGAATTGGTAGAACTGGCACATTCATTGTTATCGATATGATTTTAGACCAAATTAAACGTCACGGTAAGTCAAATAAGGACTAATAAACGATTCATCATTATTTAAAAATAACTAAAATTGTAAAATATATTTCAATTACATTTAATTACATATGGAGTTTCATGGAACATCTTTTATGATTTATTACAAGATGATATAACATCTTTCATAATTTATTACAAGATAATAACATCTTTTATGATTTATTACAAGATAATATTTTTATCAACCTACTATCCTCATTTACTATCATGTATATTAATAGCATGTTGCGCGCGCGCACTTGATATTTTGTTTAGGGCTCGATTGTGAAATTGATATTCAACGTACAATACAACGAGTACGCTCGCAAAGATCAGGAATGGTCCAGACGGAAGCGCAATATAAATTTGTTTACCTCGCCGTTCTGCATTATATCGATACTGTATCCCAACGAATGCAAGCAGAAAAGGTGAACTGAACTTAATATCGTGCGTTCTAAATAATTATGTTATAAATAATTGACTTATCCTTATTAATTGATCGTTTCTTTACAGAAATCACTTCAATTAGGCAGAGAATATACTAATATTCGTTACAAAAGCGAGACGAACGTTTCCACTAATTCTATCATGAGCGACACTTCCATTTCCACGAGCACACCGACAACCCTTTCAACATTGTCCACATCTACCTATAGTTTGAGGCCAAAGTAATTTTCGTTAGGCTCACACAATCGGTTTTACATATACTTGGGAAAGCAAAGAAGAGGCTTTTGCTTCCTCTCATTTTCTTTCTTTCTCTCACTCCTTGTTTTTTAATTCTCCGTCACTAGATGATGCTACAAGAAGATTGTAATGCGATATAATCACGTATCCCATTTATTCGGAGTCTTATTCGCCGACGAGAATTCACTTTTGCCTTTATTGTTAAATATACTTTTTATTAAGTATAAACTGATGATGCATTTTTTAAACAATTGGATTATATCCATATATATATATATATATATATATATATATATATATATATATATGTATATGTATATATAAGTTAAAAAGAAAAAGACAATTCGACGATTTTTACAATGTTACTTTTATGAATGGATAATGGATTACTGAAAATGTACTAAAGACTGCTGATACTCTCTATTTTCTCCTGTATGTATGTATATATACATATGTTCCATTCCATCTCGAAAATGTCGATAAAAGTATAATAAACATAATATAATAGGAATTCGGACTCGTTAGCAGAAATTAAAATTCTACGAAGACTGGAAATTCCTTGGAATCAAATAGTGAAAATTTGGGAGAAAATTTACGCAGATTTAAATTTTTTGCTAGTAGAGATTTACATTCACTTAGCATAGATTCAAATCCTATCTAGTGCAAATCCAAATATGTTTTTTCTTGAAGAAATGTGATACAACAACCAGCCTACTATTATACTCAAAGTCGATATTATTTAGTGAGTAATGATGCATTTTTGATTGTGAAGCAATCATAAAAATACTGAGGAAAAACATGTGTAATTCTTTATTGTAAGACATAAAATGTATGTTTTATCATAATATTAACTTATAAAATAATTTCATTACGATTATTTTTATGTTAATGTAACGCATATAGAGAAAAATATGTTTGATATCTAATTTTAATTATTTTTCAGCATTATAATTATATTTGTACAGTTAATTATAGACAATTAAACTTCAACTTTGGTTAATCTAACTTATCGTTTAATGCAATCAGTTATAGTGAATTATTTAGAAAATTTTTCACAAAATTTTTTTTTATGAAGAATCCTGAAAAAAGAGAAGATTCATGGAAGATCACGATTCATCCCTATCCAAAGAGCGCATGTGCGCATCGCGTTTAGCACGTAGTTTGTACTATTCTTTAGCGAGTTGTCTCTCGATCCTGTTCCTTCTCCGATTATTTTCTCATATTTCGTATCTCTTCTGATTATTGCACTTGATTAACTTTAATTTAATAATAATATTTTCATCTTTTCGACTCCTCTTTAGATATTTAAAAATATATAAAATGAATTTAAACGAATATTATATATATCAAATATGTATGCAACTTAAACGCGAGTGACTGTGTATGTAAGATCAGTTTTTTAATTATTTATTTACATTGAAATATACGCGTGTATACGAAGAATTACAGGTAACAATTATGACAAAGTTCTTGGCGACAGTTAAAGCAATACTTACGCGCCTGGTGTTCGCATCGCATGGCTTTATTGCTATTTGGCAAGTGACAACTTTCAAGAAGAATCCATTTTTCTGGTACCTGAGTTGTCCCATCGTGTTGCTGTTCTTCGAGGGCATTTTTACGCTAACTATAAAGGAAAGTCAAGAATGGAAATGGTACGTTAATTATCGATGCAGATCTATTTTTCAGAAATATTAATTGTACAAAAAAATGAAACTTTTTTTTATTTTACAAAACAAAAGCAAAGAAAAAAATAAAGGGGGGAGGATATCTTGATTTTTAGTTATTTATATTAAAACAACGAAAAAAAAAATAATATTGCTTAATAAACTGTTGTTTTAATATACTCTTGTATATAAATTTTTTGCATTAATTTTAATTTATATTCAATTTTTTAATTTATATTTAATTTTTTAATTTTAATTTTAATTTTAATTAAATTAAATTTTAATTTTTTTATTTTTTTTATTCTACAAAATAAAAGCAAAGAAGAAAATAAAAGGGGGAGGATGTCTTGATTTTTAGTTATTTATATTAAAACAACGAAAAGAAAAAAATAATATTACTGAATAAACTGTTGTTTTAATTTACTCTTGTATATAAATTTTTTGCATTAATTTTAATTTATATTTAATTATTTAATTTTAATTTATATTTCATTATTTATTTTTTATTTTAAGTATTTTATTCATATTAACTAGTCGTACAAAATCTCTGTAATTTTTTATATATATTTTCATATTCACACATACATACAATTCTTTTTTCTTTTCATAAATTGTAATAATTGTTATAAATAATATTTTATATGTGATAAAACTCTCAAAACTGACAGACTGAAATAAATAACTGATATAATACTTAAAATTATATAATACTTAAAATTTAAAATAATATCTATTCATATATGTATAAAATAATAGTTTCATCTTTTTTTTATAATTTATATGACAAGAAAACAATTATAAAGATCTACTTATATAGGTATTTATAATGTTTTCTTGACATATAAATTATAAAAAAAATGCAACTATATGGAATTTAATATATATTATATAGAAAAAAAACAGGCCTAATGTACACAATTCTAAAATATTGAAAGTTTGAAAAAGTTCTGTAAAAAGAAGAGACATAAATAAATAGAAGAGATATAGAGAGATATAGAAGAGATATAGAGATATGAGGAACATCCTAATTTAAGATATTATATATTTATATACATATATAAAAGAATTATTTAATATCATCAGGGTTGGGTAAGTTTATATATTTTTTAAACTAAATTAAGTTAAAGTTAATGGGTTAAAAAATTAATTTAGGTATGTTAAAAGTTATACAAATAAAAAATTAACTCAATAAAAGTTACGTTAAGATTAAATTAACGTTAGTTAAGATAAAAGTTAAAATTTTGAAAAGCATTATTTCACTTTATATTAAATTAGATTGTAATTTTAAAATTAGACTCTAAATAATAATAATATGAATCATCAAATAAATTTGGGGGAAATTGGGGGTTATTTTTAAAACACATAAACTTAAACTTATTAACTTTTCCCCCAAATTTATTTGATGATTCATATTAATCAACTAGTTATTACCCAACCCTGAATATCATTATATTCTTTTTAAATTTATATTTTAAATTTATACTTCTAATCATCGATTAGCTTGATTGCATATAGGAAATATTATAAATAGTGGTAAAAAGTTGCACTAGATTTTAGGATTGTCATTGTGAGATTAGTGTAAAAGGATGCTTTCGGAAAGGGTGTGTTTATTGTGAGAACGTCTCGGTTTGACAGACGGAAATTGGAGCAATTTATGTTAGTAACATGAGGCGCTGACGAAGAATCGCTGACGTTAGAATCCATTTTACTCGGGTTGTATATTGTATACGAGCCGAATCAAGAATTATCGATCTTTGAAAGCAAATCTGATTCTGTTTATCTTTAACTTATCGATAAATTTGTAATTAAACATTAGATACGGAATTCTGCATCGCGGCATATTACTAGAATCTCTTTGAATATTCCGATATAAAAATAATATCACAATAATATGATAAAATGATTATGTTAACACTATTTTTAAATAATAAAAATATGAAATGAAATTCTAGAGAATATTCATGAAATAAATAATAATATAAAAACATAAAATTAAACAAATAAAATTAAAAATATACATAAAGTAATAATTAAAAATAATTAATAATTAATAAATTAAAAAAATATATATATATATGTGCATAATTTGTTATTTATTTTTTACTATATCTCTACAGGTTTTGCCCATCTGTATTTTTATATCTCAGTAGTGTGGTGCCCGCAATTTGGCTATTGGAATTAGACAAAGTGGATAGAAGACTAAAATACCGCGAATCGAATATTAATATATCCGAGAATTTCGATTTATCCAATTTAGCAGCCGGTGATTTGAAGCATCTAGAAGATGCTCTCGGCGTACGTATGATTTTCTTTTCATAAAACTTAATGAAAAAAAGCTGCAAATGTTCTACTCACACAATTTTTGTCCAGCAAATTTAAATGAAACATCCTAAATATATATATTAATATGATACCTATATTATAATACTAATATTAATATATTAATACAATATGTATATTAATAATATATTAATATTATAATATATTAAATATATATTAATATTATAATATATTAATAATATATTAATATAATAGCTAATAATAATAAAAATAAAAATAATAAATTATAATTAGTAGAAAAAAATTAAGAATTATTAAAAAAATTAAATGAAACATCCTAAATATATATTAATATGATACCTATATTATAATACTAATATTAATATATTAATACAATATGTATATTAATAATATATTAATATTATAATATATTAAATATATATTAATATTATAATATATTAATAATATATTAATATAATAGCTAATAATAATAAAAATAAAAATAATAAATTATAATTAGTAGAAAAAAATTAAGAATTATTAAAAAAATTTCTCTTTAATTTTTCAGGTTGATATTCAATTACCGGATATTCAGATTTCTACGGAAACATGGGTCACTTTGATCGAACAATTTTTAATGTTGGTTCTAATAATCGGTCGCTGGATGTTACCGAAGGGTGACTTAACTCGCGATCAACTCAGTCAGCTTCTATTGGTCTACATCGGGACCGCGGCTGATATTATCGAGTTCTTCGACTCCTTCAAGGAGGACAGAATAGCGCGGGAGCCTGTGCTCGTCTATCTAACTCTAAGCATTTGGGCATGGTCCCTGATGCAATTTACGGTCGTGCTAACTGCCACTAAATCGAGAAAATCTCGACTTTCTAGCAGCGTTCCCAAGAAGAAGACCCGGACGGAAACCAGCTGCTGCAGTATCGATGTGTGGGGAATCGCCCTGAACATGATTCTTCAGGCATGTTAAATAATATTTTTAAAAATTTTTAAAAAACGTCTGAAAAACATTAGGCAACGAAATACGGAAAATATTGCTCTACATAATAGCTATCTAAATCGATAATCGTAAATCAATTTTTTCTGTTTTACAGCTGATGTTTATTGATAATAGGGAGATGATGTTTTATTGCTTTTAAAATTCTTCATCTTTTTTTCAAATGAATATAAAATTTTTGATTGGTAAATCTCTGATAAAAAGATCTCTCTCAAGAGTTTTAAGAGATTAATTTTATTTCATAAATATTTATTCTATTACATTTTGCAGGACGGACCGTTTCTGGCGTTTCGCTTGATATTGATAATTCATTATCAGATAGTCAGTTACATGAACATATTTTTCACATGCAAAAATACGCTTGTAATATTGCTGCAGTTGTACCGACTTTACGTTGTGCAAAGCGAAAATAAAAGCAAACGGAGTAAGAAATATAACAAAATGGAGATGTCAAATATCAGCATTATTTCCCGAGGCGACATGTACAAAGACGTAAGAATGAAAAATTCGCGAGATGATAATAGGCATAGAAGACGACGTGATAGAGACATAGAAGCAAATTACAGTGAAACCGAAGATTCGATGGAGGATAACGATAAGTTTGATTCATCCCCCAGGAACGTTGCTTGCTCCAAACGGTTGGCATATTTAAATTATCCTTAAATTATTTGTACATGTAAAAAATTAATTAAATTATTGAATTGAAGAAGAAATAAATGATAAAAAAATAATAAAAAAAATGATGGAAATTTATTTTATAAGAGTCAATGTATTTTAAATATCTTTTCTTTTTTGAAAAATATTATATAAAAATTTTGTATAAAGAAATAGCAAAAATATTGTATATTTTGTCTGCAAAATTATTACACAAATATTTTATATTTATTATATTAATTATATCGTAGGAAAAGTCGTCAAGATACCGGATACTCGACGTCGAGTTCCCGTAATTCTAGCAAACAGAGTAAATCGCAAAAACGCGAGAGGAAGAGAAGATTGTCGCGTAAAGAGGAAATGAGACACGATACATCTGACGAGGAGAGACGTAAGAGAAGAGAAGACAGAAAATCTTCCGAGAGAAGTGAAAGGAAGTCGACAAAGAGTAAGAATGACGACGGTCCTGGTAAAGCCCCTAATCGGAAGTATGACAGTGAAAATGAATCCTCCAGTGAAGAGCAAACCGAAAGTAAGACTATCAGCAAAGACAGCGAATCAGAATTTGACAGAAACAGGTGAAAATATTAACGCAGAATAGCCGTAATGTAATGTCTTAATCTTTATATGTCATAAAATTTTATGAAATTAAAAGACATGATGCTCAAAGAATTATGAATAAAAAAAAGATTTTAATCATTATAAGTGTAATAAAAAGAAAAAGCTTTTAATGAATTTTTAATATATATTTTTATTATAACAATTTTTATTATACGCTAATATATTTTTAATGTATTTATAAACACAAAAAATATTAGCTACTTTCTTTTTAAAAACTATTTTCTTCATAAAGAATATTTTTTTGTTTCTCAAAAGTCATTTTCAAAAGTTTTAAGATATTTTTGATAACATATTTTTTTTAAATACATATATATGTTATATATATTATATTTATATACATATATACATGGAATATTAATTAGAGTTTAATTAATTTTCTAAAATTTTTTAATATTAAATCTTTTATTTGCATTCGATTCGCTAAATTATAAATAAGTATTGAAAATATTTTGAATTTTATATTCTCTTTCTACTATAAGGTATAACATTTAACTTTGTTACAAAGTATTATTTTTATTATCTTCATATATTTATCTATTAATTACCTTTTTAATAATTTTCAGCGCTCGTAAATACACGCATCGCAAGCGGAGGCAGGACAGAGATTGACAGCGGAATTTGGGTATTATAGCATTGTTGTTCATTTATTCTGCAATTTTTATCAATTGCATCCTATTTATATATGCTGGAATTAATAACGGCATAATATTAATTACGAAAACGAGACAATTTTATCCTGAGAGATTGAACTATATAAATAATATCTATAAAGAAAGAAATTTATAGAGATGTTTAATATTTTCAAAATAGTAGAATATTATGAATGTTCATACATATTTATTAATTCATATTTTGAATACAAACATAGGAGATGGTTTTTAAATTTTTCTCTTAATTATCTGATTGCATAAAAGCTTACGCTATCTGACACTATTTGACAAAAAAGGAAATATTCGTAACTATTAGTATATTTTTCACTTCCATATATATTGTATAATTTGTTATTTATTGTGTTTATACATATCAAACATTTTACAAATGTTGAACTGTCAAATACAAGTCTAAATCTTGATGCATAATTAGACAGATTATATGTAGTACATAATTATTATTAAAATTTCTTTAATTAATACATAAAGTTATACACGATTGAGTTCTCAGACATGTATGTATAACTTTATGTATTAAGGAAGTCTTAATGATAATAAGTGTACATACATCAAAGATAAAAGCAAACAATTGACGAAAATATTGGAAAAATTTCACGAATTTAATTGTAACAAATATATCCCATTCGTCTCTTAAAACAAATGTATGTATATTTACCCAGTAAACACCAAATAACAATTATATAACTGTTAGTTATAATTTCTCACTCAACAATATAACGGTTACATGTTATGCAACAGTTACATAACAGTTATATAACAGTTATATTATTGAGAAATTATAACTAACAATTATATAAATGTTACTTGGTGTTTGATGGATAGGAATATATATATATATATATATATATATATATATATAAGAATATATTTGTTACACTTAAAATATAAGTAAATTTATAATTTTTAATATATATATATATATATATATATATATATTATTTATATCAATATTTCTATGTATGTTGCCTTTATAGATGGAAAAACATAAATAGAACTCAGACATTGCAGTAATATTGCAGTAATGTTGCTGCAATATTACAACAATATTCTGTGCTGCACAGGAAGGGAATATAAACTTATTATAGCTAAACTTCTCTACGAAATTATCTTGTAGATAAAAATTTCTGTAAATTTAAAATTTAACGATATAATACAGTATACAGTATACAGTATACATGTATACAGTAAAATATTATTTCCCAACAAATACTAAACAGTTACACAGTGTCCTAAAAGTCCCGGACCGGTCGAATATTTCATAAACTATGCACTTTAGAAAAAAATGTTTCAGACAAAAGTTGTATGGCTTGAAGGGGGCCATCAGATAGTGGCAATGATTTGATATGGGAGAGTCATTTGAAAGTCACGTGAAGATCACCGTTAATTTCTTAAATGGAACTCCCTATTTTTTATTACATATTCGTGTAGCTTATCTCGAGAGCTTTCCAAAACACTATAATAAAGTATTTCTTCATTGAGTATTTTTCGAGTTATGAGGCTTGAAATCATTTCTTATAATTTTACATAAACCGTAAAATATCTTGTAAAATATTCATTTTTCGATTATCTTACTTTAATAATTTTATGTACAAAATAATGAGAGGAATCAATTGGTGTAAAGAAAACACATAGTTGTTTAAAAAAAAAAAATGTAATTGTTAATTGCAAATTACATATTTTTTTTTTAAACAACTATGTGTTTTCTTTACACCAATTGATTCCTCTCATTATTTTGTACATAAAATTATTAAGGTAAGATAATCGAAAAATAAATATTTTACAAGATATTTTACGGTTTATGTAAAATTATAAGAAATGATTTCAAGCCTCATAACTCGAAAAGTACTCAATAAAGAAATACTTTATTATAGTGTTTTGGAAAGCTTTCGAAATAAGCTACACGAATATGTAATAAAAAATAGAGAGTTCCATTTAAGAAATTGACGGTGATCTTCACGTGACTTTCAAATGACTCTCCCATGTCAAATCATTGCTACTATCTGATGGCCCCCTTCAAGCCATACAACTTTTGTCTGAAACATTTCTTTCTGAAGTGCATAGTTTATGAAATATTCGACCGATCCGGAACTTTTGAGACACTCTGTATAACTATTTTATAACTGTTAATTATAATTTCCTACTCAGTAATATAACTGTTATGTAACTGTTACATAACATGTAACAGTTAAATTGTTGAGTGGGAAATTACAACTAACAATTATATAAATGTTATTTGGTGTTTGCTGGGTTTATGTTCAATTTTCTTCACATGGTTGAGTTATTCCGACTCTCTAGCCATTGAATGCTCTGCTTGCTGTCAAGAGTGTCAATATAGGTCGATAGGTCGTCTTGGTGAACTCCACTGGCAGCACAATATAAGATCGCAGTGTTCTCTAGCAATTCCTGCAACGGTTCTGTCGTCGAGACTTCAATCGCGTCTTCTGAATGCTCCGATTTTCCTTCCTGCGGTTTTGCTTCAGTCACAATAATTTCGCGCTCCTTATAAGATTTAGCAGGCTTCTCTCTCGCTTCTCTCTGTCTTAATGTATTTAGGTTCATCGATTGATCTATGAAAGGACTATTCTCTAATGATATTGAACAGCTGTTCCGAGCACTTTGAGTATTGCTAGCAATCTCTTTGAGCTGTTCTTTCAGCGCCATATTATATCTCTTCATAGAACATATATTTTCGTGTAAAAGAGAGAAGGTATCCGCGTATGCATTCGGAATTAGTTTGTTGAAGTTTTGACTTCCTTCTGCTGTCACATTCTTCTGCCAGAAGTCCTTCGGCGAAGCCTTGCCGCTTGAATCAGTCATGTATCCTTTCATACTTTTCGAAACACCTCGATGATGCATCGCAGATTGTCTCAACGAGCTGTTGTTGTATTCCGACAGGATTCTAGCGATTTCCGAGGTCTCACTGGCGCATTGCGCACTGTTCTTGCCGGAATTCACCATCAGAATTTCATCATTTGACTCTTTGTTCATCTTTGTTTTATCAGTATTTCTATTTTTATAATTCTCTTTAGCATGGACAGTCTTCTCGCTCTCCAATTGGTCCTCCAGAAAAATCTTCTTCGCTGTATTCTCTCGTCCACTTGTGGGATATCTCTTTACGGTGTACAAATTAGTTTTCACTGATGATTTCTCGCGACCCAAATCTGACTCGTCCGCTAAAACCAGGTTTTTATAGATCGACGACATGTTTGTTGGTGGTTTGTCGTCTGTAGATGACGTGTCTTTCAAGTTGACTAAATTGGAGACATCTTTTGGGATTGCTGTGCAGTTTTCATTGCTTGTTTTCGCGACCGAATTCCTTAGTAGGATCAAAGAGTTGCTTGAAGCATCTCGCAAAATCCGTTTTAGGCAGTTCATCTTAATCATATCTCCGCTCTGCGGAATAACTTTTGAGCCATCGCTCTCCACAATCGACTTCTGTGCCTCTGGTACATATGTGGCTGAAGCTGATGGATAAGTCGCAGTGATCCTTCGACCGCTTGGGTTGTTCGCGACACTTTTCTTCTGAACGTTTTGCGCTACATCAATGGCTTCAATTAACCTTGCTTTTTCGGCGTTTTGCGAAGAACTCGTAGCGTTATTCATGACATTTGCCGTTTCCAAAGAGCTCGTCTTTGGTGCAGAAATTGTTAACTTCGTCCTCTCTTCCATAACTTGCTTATACGCTGGTGTCATAAGTTGCGAGCAATAACCGAGTACGCAATGAAGACTTCCGTGCATGCATGTCTCGAAGGACTTGTCCTCTGCGACGAAGTAAGTGTTACGTGCATCTTTGGGGTTCGACGAACATTTGCTTTTCCCTTTTGTCTTTGCTTTTGGTTTCTTCTCGACAGAAGGAACTCGTCGATCGTGATACGGATCGACGGCGACCACCTCGATTTCCGGCTTGTCAATAATCTCACAATAGGATAATCCATCGAGGCTGGTGAAATATCTCCCTAGGTATTCCACTGCTAGACCAGCCTGGAGAATAAACAGATTATGTAAAAGAAATTGTACGAACATCATGAGAGGTCATATAAAAGGTGTCTGAAATAATGGGGTCGTTCACATTTTTTTTAACGAATTTGTAGCATTAAACTTTTTTCCTTTTTCTTTGCAAAAATTACTCATGAAAATTGCTATTTATTGTAGCTTTCTAAGTTTTCATAAATTGTATCCATATCTTATCTATCAAGAATTAAATTATATTAAAGAGGAGATATATAAATATTGTCTAAAAATTTTTAAAATTTTTAATTATTAAAATCACAATAATTACAATTAATCTTATTTGTTTCCTTGAAATTTTAGTTTATTAGGAAGTTTTTTTTACGTTAATTATTATTAACGCACTTTATTTTTATATTGAATTATTCGTCTTGAACTTCATAAGGTATTTATAATAAATATTATTTTAAAATAAAAAAAATTGAGATTTTTTTAAACTTAAAGGTTTTCAGTATTTTCAAATTTTAGAAAATATTACTAATTTTTTTTTTAAATTTATGATACCTTTGATGTGTGAAAGGTTAATATTTCATATAATTGATGTCTTTTAGGAATATAATTCGATACAAAGAATATGTGTGTGAAATATAATAATATTGTATCATTAAATATTATATTATATCATTAAAGAAGATAATTTTTTTTACTTGAGGATGGTAAACCGGTCTTTCGTGCATTCCATGCGCAGGCCATTCCTTCCATTCAGTCTCATCTTTTTTGGTAGGTGCCTGATAAGTTGCACCCACGTTATACATTTTCCGGGTGACCGATCTAGTTTTCATGTAAGGCATCGTGACTGATTTATTAGATTTGTAATTCGTGCAAATTTCTTTCTTATTATTGACCAATAGTCGTTTAGATCGAGTGAAATCCTTATCAATGTTTTTCTTGGATACCCGCATGGGATTTCGTCTCACCTCTACCGTTTCACGACTTGGAAAGTATATACATAAGAGATATATTAAAATTTGGGTCATATAAAGAAGTAAATGATTCTAATCTGATTAATATTAAATTTTTCATTTGTGAAATTTTTTATAATAATCTAACCGTATTATATAAACTATAAACCCGGCAAACACCAAATAACAGTTATATAACGATATAACAGTTATGTAACAATTATATTGTTGAGTGGGAAATTATAACTAACAGTTATATAAATGTTACTTGGTGTTTGGGAAGCTACTCTTCTTTTTCTTTATAATTGCTTTATAGTGTAAAGTCTTCTAAAAATATTAGTAAAAATATAAATATTAGTATTAAAAAATGACACTTAAAAATAGAAAATGTGTTGAAGTTTGTATACAATTATATGTATAGTATATGTATAAATAAATGTATATTTGCATAAATAATATATATGTATAAATATATGCTTCTTAACCTAATTTAACTTCGGCATCTTTTAAATTAACCCATAATTCTAACAATTTTAAAAGTTTTTAAAATATTATTTTTAAGTTGTTAAAATTTTTTTTAAAAGAAAGTAGTTAAAATAATCCAGAGCCTTGCAAACTTTGAAAAATTTTTTGAATGAAAATTATAATAATCTTAGTCGGGCTATTTTTACTATAATAATAATGATAATAATATTAATAATAGTTCCGAAATTACAGAATTTTATTTTCAAATTTCTTCGTTAGAAATCCTACATCGATTTATTCCAAAGATCTTTTAATAATTACTCACGTTTTGTTCCTGGCTCGGGTAAATCGTTTTGCTTTAGCAGTTGTGCAATCGGAAGTCGAGCTGCTTCCACTACTATTCGTTTCCATCAACTCCCTATAATCGCTATCCTCTCTACTTGCTCTCGCTTCTTGTCTTATCACGACGGTATCCGGCGGTAGTTTTCGCAAAATTTCCATATTTTCATAGTACGTCGCGTCGCTCCGCGAATTTGAACCTCCACGTTTCGCCATCTCTCTGAGCTGTCGTCGCAAAATCATCTTGGAGTCGCTATCGCTCAGCTCGATCACCTGGCGATTCGCTGTTTCCCTCGTCCCATCTTCTCGCTCTAATAAAATCACCTCTGTCTTTCCGTCAAATATTTTCTCTGGAATATGACTGACCGAACTCGAGAATAGATCGTGATAGGGAATATAACTCGCGTTTTCGATGACATCTTCCTCAGAGATTTCTCTTTTCCCTTGGGAAGAGCACTGCTCGAGCGAGTTTTTCGACAACTCCATTAAATAATAACCTAAATTATCGTAATATTTATGGTAAGATTTTATTGTATTTCGCGATAATCATTCATGATAGAAAGAAAGTTTGCTTCTCTGACATATCATTCAATCGATGTAGCTTACAGCTGATTTTAATTGAATAAGTTTCTTTTGGTTTTCTGTCTAGATAATTTTTATTTAAATCAAAAAATTGTAAAACTTATTTAATTTATGCTATTAATTGCATTTTATTATACTTTTTATTTTACTTTTAATTAGAATAAAAAAATTTCTCGTAAACGATGCAAGAAAATAGAAATAAATTAGCAAAATGATGCTACAACGCAGTTCGGAGCATACATACCTTATGCCTTCTTTAAAGTTTCGAGGAAGCTTATCTACCTTGAAATCTCTTTTTAACCAAATATATTACTTTCGTTAAGAATATAAAGTTTGTACTTTGAAGATCAATCGATATCGTTAATTCTTGAGATATTCCGAAATCTCTCACTCGAGATTCAGTAAAATTATAAATATTCAGATGAAGGAAGGTGATTGATATTGATCGAATGTAATAAAGGAATACTGAATGAAAATATGTTTGCGAGGAAACGGAGCACTTTGGTCGGCTATCACGGTAGTGTCGTCCTTCACATGTCTTGTCTCGCTTGTCGATTGCACACATGCACAAATCGATTCGGTGAGAAATCAACAATTGAAGATCTTGTGAAAAGAGAGCGGAGGTCAGATTTATCGGGTGTGATGTTTTATTTATTTATTTAATTGGAAGGTCTTGAAATGTAAGATAAACATATCTAAACATAACATTATTAAATATTTATTAAATATTTTTATTAAATATTATTATTTATTAAATATTTTTATTAAATATTATTATTTATTTTAAATATTATATTATTTAATGATATATTAGCAATCATCTCTTATTTTAAATCGGTGTAATAATAAACAATAATTAAAAATTAGCGAAATATTTGACTTCTTTATGGATTACGTTTGAAGAAAATTTATATGTAAATCTGATATCTGACTTCATCATGTACATACACATAATTGACCGTATGATTAACTTTCTTCTATAAAATATCTCTCTTATAGTAATAAAAATTAATTGAGAATCAATTAATTTGTAAATAACTTTTAATCATTTTTATGAAAATAATTTGTATTTAATTTAATAAGAAAAATATATAAATAGTATAAATTTCAATTTGAATGATTTTTATAATTCACGGATTGTAAGACAAAAAATATATAATTTTATGTAACACAATATTAATGCAAATAATAATAATATGCGGATAATAATAATATAGTAAGAAATAAAAGTAGTCAAGAGTTTCGAATAGCATCGATTTTATTCAAAAGCAAATACTATAAATTGTACTAACTAGTTCTTTTACACGTAGATACTGAATACAATACTCATCGTTTGTATTGCACGTGAAATTAAACGAGAAAAAGTTAACACTTTCTCTTGTCCTCTCTCTCTTTCTATCTTAATATGAAGGTATTTACAAAGAAAAGAAGAATTGCCGTGTGATTTACGAAAAACGTTTTGTTGGATGTTCAATTCATATTATCAGTTGTCAGTGCAAGGGTTGTAAGTACCGATCGTCGATTTGGATTTACTCCCAGATTCTCCCAATTTATCCAAGACAAGCGTGCTGTCAGATCTGCAACAATTATCGTAATATTTGGCATCTTGAGAAGTTGTAATTAATTACGAGATTTATGAATTAACATGTTATAAGGTAGATAAAAATTTATATAGCACGGATTATTTTAATCTTGATATATAGTGTAGCTATTTTAGAGGTGAAAATTTAATGAACATTTAATTCTCCTGTTTAATTTAATATTAAATCAAACGAACCTTTCATAAATATTTATTTGTCAACAGTGATAAATTTGCTACAAGAATAATTTTATACACAATTATTTAATGTAAGAAATATAATAATTAGTGTAAGGAATGGGATGCATTAATATTGTTAATTTAACATTAAATTTTGTGAATACAAAACAGTAGTGGAATTTTTCTTCATTGAAAAGGTCATAGCATATATATTTTTTCTGACATAATTTACATGTGTAATTATTCTCATAATAATATTTCGATGTTTTCTTTAAAAAAATGCTTTTACATAATATTATATATAATTTTACATGAATATGTATATGATATATGTGAGCGTGTAATCCTTAACATTCTTTTTCAAATACTTAAACTGCAATTAAAATTGAATATATACCACTTGTATTCCATTCGGCGCGTTCGCCGTTTATCTCACCCCTAAGGCACCTCTCGACGTATGTCAAAGGATCGAGCCTGGCCGCTAAGACCTCGCGCAACAGCGCAATGTACGCAATAGCCAAGCGCAAAGTATCGATTTTTGATAATCTCTTTTCATAGGGAAACGTCGGCACATGGACCCGGAGCTCGTCGAAAGCCGAGTTGATGCTGCTAAAAATTGCAATCACACTGACAATCCGCCCTTAGATTTCTTGTTAAAAAGAAAAATAAATTTAATTTTATATCTTAGAATGTATGTATGACACATCATATTGTGTGAATTAATATCAAATAAACAACTCATACAATAATCAAATTATTAATAAAATAAAATATTAAATATTAAAATAAAATATTAAAATATTAATGTTGTAACTCATAAAAATAATTTTTTTTCATAATAATGATTTGCAAAAGTAACTTGGAATTTTCATTTTATTTAATTTTATCGTCTTTATTTTTCTATTACTATTTTTTTTTATTTTCAAAAAATTTTTAGAATTATATTCATATTTTTTAATTTTGCTAAAAAAAATCACTTTCTTTGTTTGAAATAAAGTCTGCAATATATTATCATATTTTATAATTTGTAGTTTTCCTCAGTAACATATATTTGCATATATATTATTATAAATCTATTATACACATATTTATAAAATATATGTATATTATATTAATATTGTTACTTTAGAAAATTTCTTACCTGAGCATACGTTTTCTTTCACGAATATTAGCGGCATGTCGTTGAATTCTGTAGGGGCTACCATTTGGATAATAACCTTCTTCTACACCATTCATCTCTGTGTCATTATGATCTGAGAAAAATTCATACAATAATATTTAAACGATTAAATATTGAATTATTAAAATTATTTAACGTTTAATACCTGGCGTTGAAACTGGCATATGGTAATGCAAGGGAGAATGTGTGTGTGGCGATGTGTGCGTGACGTGTTGCGTAGATCTTCCTGCATAAACACATGAAGGTAATTCTGCCAAATCTTCTTCAGTGATATCATTATTGGGTCCCACGAAATATTGGGTACTGCAAAATTACGATAATATACAATTAATTTTATTAGAATAAAAGACACATGTGTATCATACATGTTTATTTCTTAATTATATATTTAAATCATATATTTTTATTTGTATTCGAATATTTAATTATGCAAAATTGCTCAAAAAATTGATAAAATTTTTAAAAAAATTTTTTAAATGGTACAGACATATTTATATTATATTTATAATATATATATTATTATCTTCTACGTATTTCTTGATTTAAGTAATTTGCTAGAAATAAATATTATTTTATAATTAGAATTTATTATATAATTTATTGAAAAATATGTGCATAGAAATATAATTTATTAGAAAATGCATCAAATGAATAAGTTTTATATATATAATATATTTTATTTAGATTAATATTACATAATATAATTTTAAGTTATACATAAGACACATTTTACTCATATATTCATTAAATCACTTAATATTAAATCATTTAAATTCTACTTTCTTTCTTTGTTTTATCTCACTAGACTTTACTTTGTTCCAAAAAATAAAATCTCTTGCTATATAACTTTTATTTTTGATTATTGTTAATAAAAATGGTCATAATATTATACTATTTAATTTTTGTTAATAAGAAACATTTTTAAGTTTATTTTAATTAATTTAATTAATAATTTGATTATTTAATATACATATATTTTTTAATTAATTTAACAACTCATTTAAATAATTTTTTATTTTTATTTTCTCTATTTGTTTACTTAGAAATTGTAACATAATTTTCATTTGTTCATTATGCGGCAAATAATATGCAATAAAAACCTTTTCTTTTTATATAAAATAAATGGTGATGATATAAAATAAATGAGTTTATTAGTATGAATATTTTTCTTTAGCTATAAATATTCAAAAACACTTTATAATCTATTATGTTCGTTTAAGTGCATTATTTTTCAAGTCAATATATCATTAATATTTGATTATGGAAAATTATAAATTGAAAAAGTATCAGAATAAATTATAATATATATATATCACAGAGATATAAAATAAATATCACAGAATATAAAAAATATTAAAGATTATACCTACATCTAGACCCAGACATAAAGACATAGAGACATAAAAACGTACATTAATTCACGCACATACTTTGTTGAAATTAATTATATGAAAATTAATGCTCTCTTTTAATTTTATATTAAATAAAGACAAGATTTTTTTAGATTTAATACGTCTAATTACGTGAAAAAGGAAAGCGTAAAGTTAGTACCTGGTGCATGCTACAGTGGAATCCGCGATTCTTGACGTGGTGCCGACCCGATGGCGGATTCTCTGGCTCTTATCCTCGAAATCGTACGCGGGATGATGATTCGCCATAATATAGACGTCTTCACAGTCTCATTCGTCGTCAGTATTCCCGCAAATTGGGAATACCCCACGAGTCAACGAGCAACCCCACTGAATATATAAACGTTTGCTTTTATTAATTTTTTTTCTTTGAAAAATTGCTGTTTCTTTCACGCGCCAATTTTTGGATCCTTTTGTCGATCTCGCCACGACTGATCGATCGATCGATCGAGTTCGAACGAGGGTATCAGTACGGAGAATACACGGATTTAGACTATCGGTGGTGTCCCTGGGGAGGCCGCTTTATATATGAAAAGCAGCGGGGTAGCACGAGGGATGATCGATACCAACCCCTGGGCGGGTTTGCAGCCAATGGCGAGCCGAGACGCATGTGGGGTGCGATTGTCAAACACGTACGGGATTGGTGGACGAACACTCTAGCGAGAGGGTTTCATCGGCCGAGATGCAACCCCGGAACGTAACCCCGTAGAGATTTTATTCGTCCCCACCCACTGTCGCTTGTCGTCACCTCGACGGTAGATGCGGGGGTGGATTTATTCGCAGGGGAGAGAAGAGCACGGTATAACGAGGGGTGGCGGGGCAATTTTTCAATTTCGCCAAACACGGATAAAATATTGCGAACATTCCTTTGATTTAAAAGCGATTCTTTTTGTTTTTTTATTTTTTATTTTTATTTATTTATTTATTTTTTCGATCAACTAAAATTAACAAAATATTCAATACAGAGATTAAATGTAGGATTATTCTAGAAAAGTTGTAAATTAAATCATTGATGGTCTATCGTCTACCTAATACTTTTTAATTATTTATTTAAACTTAAGAATTTTTTAAATTGAATATGAATGTGATAAATTCAATAACAAAATTGACATATTTAATTAAAATGTATTAAAATGTAATACATAGATTTTTGCATATATAGATAAATAAATTTCTAACATAAAATAAAACAAAATTTCAAATTTATTTTAAATTTCTAAAATAATTCTTAAAATATTTTAAATTTATTTAAAATTTTTAAATTTATATTAATTAAATGTCACACATTTTTTAAATCAATACTGACATCAAATTTGTAATCTAATAATTTAGAAACCTTTAGTTTAAATAAATATAAGGAGCTAAAAAGCTCTAATAATATAATTAACTATAATAACAATTTAATTTTGACTGCAATGAAACTTCTCCAATGTTTCATAAATTGTATAGATTTCTAAATTATTAGGATCAAATAGCTCTTTTGCAATTTTAATTACAAATTTCTTCATTCAATTATAATGGGACAATTTGGAAACTGGAATTGTATTCATTCTAAAAAAATTACAGAAAATGATTTGTTCTTTACTTGTATTCAAATTATTTTTTGTTACATTGTATAGTTGGAAAATCATTACGAGAAATATTATCAATAAGTCTTTTACTTTATTTATACTTTTATAAAAATATACGTGTCAAGATAGATTAGTATAAATTCCATATCACTGTATAATCCACTCCACTGCATCTGTTTCATCTGTAATCGATTAATGTGTTTATATTTTCCTTTTTTTCAACTTATATTTTACTGTAATTGATTTGCGTATTTCTTTTTTTCTTTATCTAATTTTTATGATCTAAATATAAGTATCAGTTTATGATATCGCAATATCATGCAATTTTGCGGGACCGTTCGAAGACCTTCTTTTTATGAAGAAATAAAAATAAAAAAAAGAAAAGGATGTATACACAAGTAATATATATATATATATATATATATATATATATATATATATATATTTAAATTTAATATGCATTAAATTTATTTGTAAGACAAGTCAGACAGAAATGATTTTCTTTAAAAATATTTAAGTTAATATAAATACATCACTTCTGTATAAATTACACAATAACGCTAAAGAGGAAAATATTTATTTATATAGACTCAGCAGTTATATTGAAAAAGAAATACACGCAAAAGAGCAAACAAGTTAAAAAAAACAAAATAAAAACAAGAAAGATATAATGAATATAAAAAGAAAATAAGAAAGATACGATAATATTATAAAATAATATATTATAAAAATTAATCATGTACTTCTTCAAAATGTACTTCTTTAATATCTCAAGTTACTATTCTTACTATAAAAACTAATTTTTCTCTCAGTGAAAAATTTATCATTCTTATCAATTAAACTTGTCATATCTGTTTTAATTAACAAAGAAAAAATAATTCAACTCTTTTATTGAGATATTGAGAATCGCAAATCAACTTGCATTAACTTTAATTAGAAAAGATGCGTTTAAGCTATCAATATAAAAAATATTAGAAAAATTTAGTATTATTCTTATCTAAATTGGTTTCTGTATCATATACAGGGTGTCCTAGACCACCCGTACGTCCCTTTTAAAATGAAAATAAATGGTTTTTATCAAAAATCGCGAACAATTTTTAAATAAATCGGGTACGCTCTATCAAATGGTGATATTTTCAACTTTTGATTCCGATCGGAAATTCGCCATCCGGATCGAAAGTTGAATTTTTTTAAGAGAACATAATACTTTTTATTACAGATTCGAATTGTACGTGAAAAAAATAAGAAACTTTTGTATCAAACGCTTTATCTGGAAATGCCTCTGTCAATCTTAAAATTGACCTTGAAAGTAATTGTGATGAAATAATAAGGTCAATTTTAAGATTGACAGAGGCACTTTCAGAAAAAACGTTTGATACAAAAGTTTCTTATTTTGGCACGTTCAATTCAAATCTGTAATAAAAAGTACCATGTTCCCCTGAAAAAATTCAACTTCCGATCCGAATGACGTGTTTCCGGTCGGAATCAAAAGTTGAAAATATTACCATTTGATAGAGCGTACCCGATTTACTTCAAAATTGTTCGCGATTTTTGATAAAAGCCATTTATTTTCATTTTAAAAGGGGCGTACGGGTGATCTGGAACAGCCCGTATAACTTGTACTCACAAGGAATCCTTGGGGAGCTTTGTACAAATGCAAAAAAATTAATAAAGTATATCTAGAAACGAGCAAATGTCGGTGATCGAAATGTCGGCCATTCGCAAAATTGTCAAAATTGTGACAGCCTGAGAAAGCCTCGTCCAAGATGACATCTGTAGAATAGCGGCAACCGAAATTGATCGGCGACGGCAGTGCCTCTCTTTTAAGAGCGCGATTATTAGCCTTCCCAATGGTATGAATGGGCCAATATTCAAATGAGCCGTGTTTAGTGCACGCGCGACGAGAGAAACGCGACGGTGCAATTATGCGAGGTGTTAATACGATCACAATGGTGGTTGTACGCCGGGGTTGTACCTATCTACACGTAGACTGGACAAAGTTTTGTCCCCGTTCGGAGCGAGGGAAAGAGGGAGGGATTCGCGGTTGATCCTCGCCGAAGGCATCACCGATTTATTATTGGCTGACCCACACAGAGCAACGATATGCATAAATTAGGCCTTCGAACCTGTGAGAATATCAGAATCCTTATTCCTTACGCAACCCTTCACCATGAAAGATTTATCCTTTGACAGCTCAACGCTCAATCTGCATATTTTGATACTATCTCGTGGTGAAAAATCAATTTGGAATTAATAGAAGGAGAGAGAGAGAGATCGAGGTGATTGATATTACTAAAATTATTTTAGACAGAGAAGGAAAAGAGATTATTCTTTTATCATACATGAAAGTGATAAATAAATCGAAACTAATTTTGTCTTCATTAATTTTTGATCATAAATATTGTTTTTAAATATTTTATGTCATTTTTTGAGTTTCGGAAAAATTTAGTTTGGTCTATAAACATTGAATGTATGGAATCCTAATGAAATGTTTTTCCCTTGTATTTTGCCAAAATTATGTGCATCATGTAACAAAACCAGATGCTAACTCGAGTGCGTATCGTTTCATTCGCGCAATCGATCCGCAATTACTTGGGAGCGTGCCGTTTCGAGTATACACCATGACAAATTTCGAGTGTGTGAGCTTTGTGTCCTCGCAAACCACTATTTATCTCAATTTGTCGCGTCTATTTAAGGGGCTTCCAGAATAGGACTGCACATCACTTTCTCCTTTTTTTCTTTCTTTATCCCAGCCAACACCGAGTAACATTTATATAACTGCTAGTTACAATTTCCTACTCAAAAATATAAATTGTTACATGTTATGTAACTGTTACATAACAGTTATATTGTTGAGTGGAAAATTATAACTAACAGTTATATAATTGTTATTTGCTGTTTGCTGGAATACTATATTTCTCCCTTTGTAACATTTACAATATTTGCAATATTTGCATATTGATTTGATATAAATAATATATATATATATATATATATATATATATATATATATATTTCTCAGTATAAATGTTTGTCAAATAGAAATCAAACTTATATAAAATATGAACAAATATGTGTTTCGTATTAAATTTTTTTTACTTTATTTTATTGTTTTTGTACTTTTTTATTATACTATTATTTTCTATTTTATAATATTACTTTATATCTATCCTTTACATTTTACGCGCGCGCGTGTTTCATATAAAATATTCGTAAATTATGGATTTTATATTTTTATTTGTATGAAATGAATTATTTTAAAACAGATTTTATATCCTTAAGCTGATGAAGTTTCAACAAAAAAGGAGTAATGTGTAGCCTTAGTATTACTTTTTTTTTCACTTTCAATGTAATATTATTAATTTAATATTATATTAATTTAATTTAATATTATTATTATCTTAATTTAATATTATTAATTTTATATTATATTTACTCAATTAAAAAGAAATGCACAAGTAACATAATCAATAATTTCCTACAATTTTCTAAATTCTACATTCTTTTTCTACATTCTTCTCTTCTCAATCAATATTAATCAATATTAAAAGATCAGTTTTATTATTTCACATATATATCAACGGGAATTATGATACACCCTGCATATAAAATCCATCCTTTCTTCAATTACGCAATAATATCTTGTTTAACCAAAAATAAATTACAGTTAACAGTCAAACATTTCGATTAATGCATCTATTATTTAACAATAAATGTATATCGCAAGAAACAGACCTCCCCAAAGATATAATATAATTGTACATACACAGTAAACAATTTTGTGTTAAATTTAATATTTCACATGTCCCAATTTATCCACTCTAATTTTAATGTTAATTTAGCAGAAGGCAAGTATGTAAATAAATAACACAAGTAATATGTTTAAAAATTAACACAAAAGTGTAACACTTAAACTTTATCTGGAAATAAAGTTTATGTTAAATTAACATATTTATAATGTTAAATTTAATTAAAAGAAAATGTTATTCTTACATTTTTATGAATATAAATAACAGAAGAGATATGTCGATTTAACATATGCAAACTGTTATAGAGAGAAAAATAACACAACTTATCTGTTCATTTTAACATATAACATATTTCATCAAAAATTCCTGCATTTACATATTAATTGTGTTGTTTTAACTCTTAGAAACGGTGAATATTAACTCAACGCAGAAATGTCAAAATAACGCAATAATAATATGTTACATTAACATAAGACATGTTAAAAATTTAACACAAAAATTTTTACACGAGAAAATTTTAACAGAAATACAAAATGTTTTTTTACCGTGTATTAGAATTGTCGGAGTCAAATCCACTTCCGATTGGATTTCCTTGGTCGAGAGGTCCCCTCGGAGGAGATCGTCGATATCCGAGCAAACATTTAATTCGCGATTACATTATTTTCGAGGGGCGAGGACCGGCCGATTACCCCTTGTCAGCGCCAGTGCATCCCCCTTGGCACGCACACGCGCGTCTCCGTCCAACGGTTCTCCCCGACCCCCTCGGAATAATAGAGATTTCACGCCGCGGGGCCCACTTCGGTTCTCACAGTAGGGATCCGACCGTCGAACGGCTTTCTGTTGTCCTACAATTCAATCTGCATTCGCCCTCGCCGTGAGACATTTCATTCGCCGGGTCGCGGAAGCGCGTGCCTCTAAGTATCTGTTTATAGTCTCTGGGGATCAATTTGTTTGCGAAATTATTTATTGGTCAAACGAGAGAGCGGCGCCTCGCGCCGCGAATCTGTTTGATCTGCGATTGGAAACGCGGTTTGGGAAAGATAAACATTACGATCTGCGTTTCGTCGATTCTATTTATCTGACGAACCGCCATGTTCATAAGTACATAAGTGGGGCTGATGATTTTCCTCGAGGACTTCGATATTAAAATCTTCGAAGGAGATCAACATTTTTGAAAAAATCGAAATTTTAAAGTTTCAAAAATTATATTACCATGATAAACATACATTTATAAAATTATATTCAAGACAAAATCTGAGCAAAATGTTGCAATTATGTTGCCAAATCGAGAAATATAAACCTATGTACAAATTCTGATTTTTAATGATTTTTGCTAATTTTTTAACAGTTTTGTTTTTAAATAATTTGTTATGTACATGTATTATTAATTAATTCACTTTTATTTACAATATTCTCAATATTTCTTACATAAATTTGCATGAACATATTTTTCGAAGCTTTTCGAGATTTCAAACCTACTTTGAATTCTTTCGAGCTGTTCTTCTTACTAATTCTTTTCTATAAATATTTTGCCTAGTACAAAATAAATCACACAAATTCTGACCATTCTACTCGGCCATCTTACTCATAACTTTTTACAAAACATTCTGAAAAATTAATTTATATGAAAATAGTAGAATTTTTAATTTAAAAAATTGCACTTTTTGGATGCGTTATTGCATTTAAGAAAAAAAATAAGATTAAAAAGTCATTGTTACGCTATTTTTCTTTACCATATTTTCAAATTATCAAATTAAATAAAAAATAAGTTTCGCATACATATTAATTGTGACGTTTAATAGACATTTCTATATTTATATTGTAATATATTTTTGTAAGACTCATATAAAAATTATAGAAATAAATTCTACTTGAAATTTAATTGAAGAATATATTTTATTATCTTTTATTTCTTTTAATTTTAAAGAAATTTTTGCTTTTTAGTCTTTTCAGCCTTTCTATTAATTTAACGAAAAGGCTCTAAAAAAATATTTCGATATATTTATTTAAAAAAAAAGGAATCGGGTTAAAATCAAATAAGGCACAAAATAACCCGAAGTTTCAAGGGAAAAGAGTTTAGAGTAAGAAAGAGAAACTATAACACGTATTAAAATAAATATATAAAGTTATTCCTGCTATCAGAGACTAAAATATCGTAATTATTTGTCACGAATATACCAGATACCCATCCAAACTTATGTCCTTGGGTCTTTTTGTCGCCTAACATCCGTAGAAATTCACCTTTTGGAGAAAAAATCTGCACTCTTCCATTTCCAGCATCGCCAACGATGATATTTTCCTTTTTGTCGATTCTCAGTACCTCGGGCGATCTATCGAGAATTAAGAATAATTTATTATTTTTTCAGTAGACCTTTGATCTTAGTAACAATAACTTGGTGATAATAGCAATTTCATATTAACCTAAAGAAACCCTTTGCTGTACCAACATCGCCGATTGTTTGAAGAATTTGTCCATCATGGTTAAATATCTATATGATGCACAAAAAAATATATTTTATTTACTGTAAAACATATATATTTATAAATTAGTTATATTGTTGAGGAAAATTATATAACTAACAGTTATATAACTTTGATGTTTGCTGGACATTTTTTAATATAGTGACCATAATAATCGATAATTTTATAATATTTTGCAAGAGTATTAATCATCATATTTTTTTAAAAACATTTAATTGTTTTTAAATCGTGCAACGATGCATTATGCGATCTTTATTAAAAATTATGTTTATAAAAAGCATGATATAAATCAGCAAACACCAAGTAACATTTATATAATTCTTAGTTGTAATTACCCACTTAACAATATAATTGTTACATGTTATATAATTGTTACATAACAGTTATTTATAGAGTGGGAAATTATAACTAACAGTTATATAACTGTTATTTGGTGTTTGTTGCAAACATAATACAAATATTTCTTTTATTTATGCAATTATATATTTTAATTTCAATATTAAATTCTTTTAACATATCATATGTTTCACTTGATATTTCCTATATCACGCATACAGACACAACATAAAGAATTTGGTAAAATTTTAAAATCCATAAGATTCAGAGAAGAACATAATTTATTTAAGAAGCCAAAAATGCACTCGAATTATATGTATTATAATCGTAAACGCGTTTTACCTTCACGTTATGATTTCCGGAATCAGCGACGACGATGCGCGTTGTGGTGACAGCCACGTCTGTCGGTTGATTTAGTTGACTAGGGACCGAGTCGGTTCTGCGGAATCTGACAGTGCCCTTCGCTTGTTTGCTCTTGGGCCCGATACTGTCCAAATACGCGCCGTTCCTCTCAAGGACCTGGACACGATTGTTTCCGGTATCGGCGACGTAGAGCACGCTTCGTTCCGGGTGAAACGCGATTCCCTCCGGCGAACGTAGCTCCGACTCTCCATGGCCCTTATTGCACATGCGACGAACGAGCTCGCCTTTGTGGTCGAACACGAATATGCAGTGCTTCCACTTATCTGCGAAAGATATTAAATCGTGCGCAAACCGACGCTTTGATAAATGATATTCAGAAGAATTAATTACACAGGCGAAAAAGGGGGTCAAAATTTCTTTTTAAGATGCAGTAGTGATTTTTGACGTAATTTTGTGCGCTGAATCCGAATCTGGCCGCCGAATTTGCGTAGCACATCAGGTTTTTGAGTTATTTGTAGTTGAATAGCCCAAAAATCGCTATTTTACATTTTCATGAATTTATTGTGAGTAAACCAAATTTTTTGAAATATTTCTGTCAATGGCATCGTATAGTACTCACTTTCATCTTTCGAATCCACTTTCGATTACTCCCCCCGCCGCACGATTTTTTTTCGCTCAGATATACAAGTTATAAGACTGGTCATGCATAGGGATCTAAGCCATTCTAAATCAACCGTGTCACCTCTTTATTTCACTACGAATCAAAATTAGGATAAAAATATACATTTTTAAATCTTCTGTCATCTTTTGAAATTAAAAATGGCGCATCCAGTATGGCGAATAGAATCACAATAAAAAGGCATAAAATTTAGAAAAATTTATCAAAATGTGTAACAACTGTATTAGATATTTCTTTACAATACTTCTTTGGACAACCGAACCTGACGTATGTCAGTCTTTTCAACTTTCAACATCATGGATCTACCATATTGATGTCTATATAAATTTTCTTTAACGTAAATTTTCTTACAACGTCATACTTATATATCTCAGCGAAGAAAAATCGTGCGGTGATAATCGAAAGTGGATTTGAAAGGTGAAAGTGAGTATTATACGATGCCATTGGCAGAAATATTTCAAAAAATTTGGTTTCTCCACAATAAATTCATGAAAATGGCCAAAATAACGATTTTTAAGCCATTCAATTACAAATTACTCAAAAACGTGACGTGCTACGCAAATTCGGCGGCCAAATTTGAATTCAGCTTACAAAATTACGTCGGAAATCACTATTGCATCTTAAAAAAAAAACCTCGCAGGCCTGTGTTATCTATAAAGTTCATTCCCAGCAAACACCAAATAACACTTATATAATTGTTAGTTGTAATTTCCCACTCAGCAATATAACTGTTACATGTTATGCAACTGAAAAATTATAACAGTTATATAACAGTTATATTATTATAATTTGGTGTTTGCTGAGTTGTATCTTGAAACTAAACATGAAAATACTTTGCGTTGTCTTTAAAATGTGAGCTCATTGAATGTATAATATTTATCTATAAACGTTCATTTTTTTACTGCAAAAGTAATACTTTACTACTTCTTTGTAAATATTATAATAAGCTACGATGAGAGAGAATTCTGTTAGATAATCTGTCATGAAACTTTTCCTGAAGTTTATTACATACATAAAATTTTATTACAATTTGCTGAATAAAAAATTATAGTTTCTAATAAACTTTTCTGAATTTTTATTACAATTTTAATAAAAAATTACAATGAAAAGAGATTGCTAGATATTTCAGTATGTGATTCAATAATACCTCAGTATGATTTAATTATAATTCTCGTAAAATATTTTATAAAATATAAAATAAGGCGACTGAAAATTCGATAAAATCAGAATAAAATCTGGCAAAAAGTGCTCTCTTCTATTTTATAAGAGTTAAATATCAAAACCTGTCACATATATCTCGTCATTTTCCTGCAGGAAAGCGAGTCCTTGAGGCGCCATCATCTCTTGGTGACGAATCCTCCGCACAACTTTGGACTTCCTGTCCAAAATGACAACCTGTCCTGACCCTGGACAGGTCGTGATAATGTTATCCCTCCAGGAATCAACGGCGAGCGCCGACGGCCGTTGCACCATGTCATGATTCGCGATAATTTTGAATGCGAAATTGTTTGCTGAGTGCGTTTTTTTAATTTTCCGCCTGTGTCATTTTAATTTTTATTTATTAATCTTATACTTATATATCATTGTGATTTAATAAAATAAATTACGCGTAATTTTTCGCGAGATTTGACATAAAATAATATTCGCTTAATAAATTGCAAAAAATTAAAAACTTTCAAATACAAGATTTACTACAAAAGCGATTGCACATTTTTATATTTTTAATTTTTATTTATTAATCTTATACTTATATATCATTGTGATTTAATAAAATAAATTACGCGTAATTTTTCGCGAGACTTGATACAAAATAATATTTGCTTAATAAATTGCAAAATATTAAAAACTTTCAAAAACAAGATTTATTACAAAAGCGATTGCACATATATTGAGAATCCCTCAACATTTTTCCTCCGATATTTTTGTATTTTAATAGATTAACTTTAATTATATAATGTATGATCTATAGAATTCATTTTTATTCGTTTTTTTATTAAAAGCTTTCTTGTAATACTAAAAATTGAAAAAGATTTCAATTACAGGCCTTCTATTAATACCTTATTTTTACACATTGTAAGTATGCAGTTAAGATTGTATTATGATAAAAAAATCTATGATTGAAAAATAATAAATATTTAAAAATTAAAAATACAGATATATTTAAATATTAAAAATACAGATAATAAAAAAATTTCAAAACTTTTAAATATTAAATACTTAAAACAATCAAATATTTAACTAACCTATTGAAAATACAGATAAAAAAAATTTAGAACTTTTATTTCTTAATTTTAATAACGATAAATAAAAAAATTTCTTTACTTGTTCGGAGAATCTATTTTTTTCTTGGCAGGCAGTTTTTCCTTTCCCTTAACTTTCTTAAATCCCTTTTCTATCTTATTTAATTCCGCTTCCCAAATGGCAACTGCTGCCATTACTTCCGCGGCTTTTTGTTGTAAATCTAGAAATACTGTTACCTGAAATAAAAAAAAATTGATTTATCAATAGTTCTATAATTATTTCTCTATCTGCGAATACAAAATGACCTGGGTTAAAAATTTCAAGGATATACAAAATTGACGAACATTTCTTCTGCGGGAGCACTTCCTTGCTGATAAATTGGCGAACGAACAAATGAAATATGCAGAGCAATGCAGTTGACGTTCTCCGCCGCAAATCCCGCACAGTGTGCAACGACGCGTCGCTAAATTGCGGCCAATCGCCGGCATAAAGAGGGACGAAAGGAGAAAAGGGGGTGGGAGGGGAAAGAGAGATGCAGAGAGAAAAGATAGAGAGCGAGAGAAAGGTGAAGCTTTGTGCTTTCTGGCACTTATGGTACCCCAAAGTCGTACCACTGGCAGTCACGTGGCGAAGCGTGCGGGCCCTTTGTACTTATCCCGGCCCCCTTTCTCTCTCTCGCTCGTCTCCAGGCCGTTTGATCGTCATGAGGATTGCCACGATTCAACGTGCGAGGACACGTGTACAAAATAGGCTTGGTGGCCTAAAGCCTGTTTGCGTCGGTGATGGACCTCCGACGTTGCGATGATTCGCCAATGCCGTAATATGCGAGGAATTTTTACGAACCGATTTACTACCCTCTTGATAAAAGTTGGGAGATACACAAGCAAATTAAATTTATTTCGATACGCTTTCCTTTTGGTTAGTATTTAATTTTAAGACGTGTAATCCTTCAAAATTCTTCAATCCTTCTTCAAAACCATTTGATAGAGCGTACCCGAATAAATAATTTACTTAATAATAATAATTTACTTAAAAATCGCGAACAATTTTTAAGTAAAAATTGTTTGCGATTTTTGATAAAAGCTATTTATTTTCATTTTGGAAGGGATGTTTGGGTGGTCTGGGACACCCTGTATATACATATGTATGCATATATTGTACATAATACAAAAAGAGAAAAAATGAAAATATATAATAATACTACTTATTTATTTTAAATATTTTATTTAAAGTTAAAAATAATTTATTTTAAGTTAAAAATATTTTATTTAAAATGTAATTATTGTAGCAATAATTAGTGTTAGGAAATACATCTCTTATCATACATTAATAAGTAATTAAAAAATATATATCAAAATTAGAAGCAATTTTGGGTTTTAATGATATAAGTAGTAATGTAATTATTTACTTGTGTTTATAACATATGTTATATAAACAAAGATTTTTCTTTATGATCTATTATTTTATCAAATTTATTTTATTCTACAAGCATTACTTATCATAATTTTTTGATAAACATTTTAATTTCTCATCGAAAAGTTGTTGAAAGATTACAATTGATTCATGCATGAGAGCTTCGATACATTTTATAATTATTGTTAGAGAATATTTATATAGAACCTCTTCTCAATGAAAAAACTGATGGAGTGGTCCAGTTATATAATCTCCTGATTGATTTAAATTTGCTGGATTTTTTTATGAAAACGTTTTAAACACTTGGTATATTTTTATTGATGAATAAATTAAAATAATGTAAATTTTATCAATAAACTTAAAAGACGATTACTAACATTTTTTGAAAGAATTTGCCATTATATGATACAAAATATGTCAAATACGCTTGTACAAATGGAAAGAGCATGGAAATATTAAACTAAAGTAAAATAATTATTTATTTCCATATTAAAGCACATGTTATAAACAAATGCAAGCAAGTCCGTTGTATTATTAATAAACAAACAATAAAATTGTATAAATAAAAATTGTTTTTAATACTCTGACAGTGTTAATTTTTTGATTAATTTATTTTCTATTCACAATCAATTTATTACTCTTTCTTAATATCTTATATAAAAATATTTTAATAATTATATTTCTAGAAAAAGTCGCGGTGATTTTAAAATCCGTGTGATATTTCTATCACTTAAATTTTATATATATATATATATATATATATATATATATATATATCTTTTGTAATTTAAAAATGTCTTTAATCTTTAAATTTAAAATTGTTTTCAGTTTTTTAAAAAATATAAAACTGGATAAATATAAACTGGATAAATATAAAACTGAACACAATATAAGATAAAAATAATTGAACGCATATTGATTAAATAAAAAATCGAGGGATAGATTAGAATATCACATAAAATAATATCGCTTCAGATGTAGTTATAATTTTATGTATCTTTTATAATAGAAAATGTTTAAAAATATATAGAAAAGAATTTTATTTGCTAAAACAAAATGTCTGTTCAATCTTCTGTTAAGAATAATACGGATTTGTAGCGTTTATTTTCGTGCTACATGCATTCTTGTTGAGGAAAATCGTTTAAAGTACTTGTACGGTAACTTCAAAGTGCAATGCAAAACGCCTTTGTTATCGTTTTTTCGTGACACTCAGGTGCGCCAATATATTCACGCCAATCAGGTAGACAGGGATACGCATGCCGATAAAATGGTTACCCAAGAATCGACATCTCTGTCCAACGATGCGGTATCTCCTCAACAGGAGTAAGCAACAAAATCGAATTGAAATTGAACACAACGAACTATCTCTAGTGAGATAAGAAAGATAGATAAGAAAGACAATGATGAAAAACGATGCGATTAAGAGATCTTTGATGAGTCACGTTTGAAAATAATGGCACGTATTGATGACGTATTGACCATTCTTGAAAAAAGTGATTTTCAATGTAAATGTTGACAATTGAATAAATCAATATAAAATGCGCTAGTAATTTTTTTTATAATATGTGTATATAATTACACACAAATATATATATATATATATATATATATAAATATATATATATATATATATTTATTTATTAATAATATATATTATTAATATATTAATATATATTAATAATATATATTAATATATATATTTATTTATTGATATGCAAATATATATAAATATATATTTATGATTACGATAGATTTATTAATGAAACGGTTTTACGACATGATTAGGAAACTTTTAACAATGTTTACCAAATGTTCTCACGAGGGAATCTCGCGAATCTGTGAAAATTCTGGTTTTGATGAAACTTTGTATGCGTATAAAAGTAAATAGATGAATTAAAAAATTTCCAGTTATCTAAAACCGACCCTAAAAAATGAAATCATACCTCGTAGATAGACTTTTTATTTTTCTCGATATATGGAGAATTATTCGAGACATTGAAAAATGTTTTATACAAAAATGGTTAAAGCACTTCTATTTAAACACATTAAAAATTTTTTTTAAATAATAATTTTTGAAAAATCCGTGAAAAAGTTATTTTTCCAAAATTAATTAGCATCAATTAAAAAATTTCTAAATTTACTTATTTACCCTCTCTTATATGTGTGTAAAGTTTCATCAAAATCAGAATTTTCGGATACGCAAGGTTTCCTTGTCAGTATTATTTTATAGATGTAATATTACTTTGATCTTAGTTCTTTATGATTAACATCTTTGATCTTAGTTCTTTATGATTAACATATTACTTTGATCTTAGTTCTTTATGATTAACAAGTTTATAATTTTTTAAAAGATAAGGCTTCTGTTAGAATTTGTTAAATCTACAAAAGTAAATAATAATGTAACTAAATTAGGATAAAATTAATAAGTTTTATGTTTAAACTCGCATATAGATGTTGATAACTAAATAAATTGTCATCCTTCATTTATATCAATAATAATTCATTTAATTATTACGTAAATAAAGATTTTTACAGAAGAAAATATGTCAAAAACTTGCATGTTATTATTAAACTGCACATATACAGGGTGTTCCAGACTACCCGTACACCTCTTTTAAAATGAAAATAAATGGTTTTTATCAAAAATTGACCTTATTATTTCATCGCAGTTCACTTTCAAGGTCAATTTTAAAATTGACAGAGGCACTTTCAGAACAAACATTTGATACAAAAGTTTCTTATTTTTTCATGTACAATTCGAATCTGTAATAAAAAGTACCATGTTCCCCTAAAAAAATTCAACTTCCGATCCGGATGGCGTATTTCCGGTCGGAATCAAAAGTTGAAAATTTCACTTTTTGATAGAGCATACCCGATTTACTTAAAAATTGTTCGAGATTTTTTATGAAAGCCATTTATTTTCATTTTAAAAGGGGTGTACGAGTGGTCTGGGACACCCTGTATATTATATATTAATGTGATTTTTTAATTAAAAGACAAATTGTAAATAAATATATTTCTCCCAAAACTTTAAGAAAGAAATAATATGTTTCAAAGTGGACGCAAAGTTTGATTGTACATTTTGACAACTAAACTTTTAATTAAATTTTATTGAAAATAAAATTTAGTTATTCCGAAATGTATAAAGTTTTATTAACAATCTATAGAATATCTAAGATTTTTTTTACTTAATGTCAAACATAAAATTTATATAAATTTATAAAATTATAAAATATATAAAATTTATATAAATTTATAAAATTATAAAATATATAAATTTATAAAATTATTTATATTAACTGCTGTAATTTTACAATTACATTGCTGCAATTCTTTTTTTCTTACTTTCGATATCATACTTATAATTTCTGATTGTATGACGGGTAATTTGCAGCGACACTGCTTTTTTAGCGGTTCTCGATAAAAATCAGCCAATTTGAAAATCTGGGGCCCTCCCTCCTCTGCAGTCGCAGGAGCCCCACGCGCTTTTTAACCAGCATGATATAAACATACACGTTGGAATTAATGATACACCGTTTAGTTACGCGTCAGTTGATTTTCCCAGGACGCCGGCTTTGTGCGTTTTAAGGGTGGAAAGGCAGGAGGGGAAGGGGGGAAAGTGCAGAGAAGAGGACCGTGTCTTAGGGGGTTCGACACGCGCTCTTCAATATGTCACTGTGGCTAATTTTAGGGGCCAACTACCGGCCACCAGCAATTCGGGACGTTCTGATCTCCGAAAGGGACAAATCGTAACAAACTCTGCAACGAACTAAGAGTGATCTGATTTTTCATTACATTAGGAACGTTATCAACATGGAAAACA